ATTTGGACCCCAAACTTTGGCAAAATGTGGCCTATAGTTTTGTCCAGTTTTCCCCAAAGTTTCAGTCATCATTGGAACACTCTCCGAGTTTTCGCGGAGTTTTTTTTCCTTTTTTGCCGACTCAATAACCCCATAAAAAACTATTTCAATGAAAACATATTTTCTAAACAAACTTCATGTTTGATTTTCAACCAAGTCACTCCAAAAGTTGTTGTTGTTTTCTCTGTTTGGATTCTTTCTCTCTGTGCCTCCCCTCCCTCTCTCAGGCGCACTCCTCGTGCTTGCGCGTTACTCGCCGCAATTCAACAATTCTTTTAAATGAGAATTTCAGAGTTTTCCTCGAAAAACCTTCGCATGTGATAACTGAGTTCTCACTTTAAAATCAAAAAATGGTCGTGCTCACTGCCGATGTTGTCTATAATCGCCTTCAAGACGTAAGTTAATCATAGTCGATATATTCTCAATCGCAAATGTTACAGATCAAAAATCCAACCCAAGAGGCTATTGAGACTATGTCACTATGGATCATGCACTATAAAGACAAAGCATCGATAGACTTGATTGTTGACGGATGGCTCAATTGCTTCAAAACAGGTAATTTAAAAAATAAACATTTTAAATACTCAGTTTTAAAATTTCCAAAGTTTCAGCTGGAACAGATAGTAAGCGAATCGCTTTGTTCTACGTCATGAATGATGTCGTGCAGAAAGCTAAAATAAAACATGCTGACACCATAATTCCAGCTTTTCAGCCAGCTGTGCTCACTGCTGTGGCGACAGGAAGGTAGTGTTTTCATATTGACCGAAAAAAGCAAATTAAAAATTTCTAGAAAGCAAGATAAAGTGAAAGACGTTATGAAGCGATGCATTCAAATTTTCAAAACTCGAGGTGTTTTTTCTTCACAAAGCACAACTGCAATGGAGAATCTTCTCGGTGAGTAATAATAAGCCTTGTTTCTCTAAAGCCCAATTAGCATCGGATGCAGATGAAGGATACGAAGCTGAAGATCAAGCTCTAGAGGTAGATTCCGAGGATTTATTGAAGAGAATTTCAAATTTTGTATCTGTAAGTATTTACCGATCATGATTTGTATTAAAAATTTCCATTTGTCAGGCACGAAACGTAATCAGTGACATGATGAAATTTGTGAACGAGGGAGATTTCGATTACAAGGAGAAGTGCAAAAGTGGAATAAAAGACCGTGAAGAAGGCGCTCATATTCTACAAGAAGTACATGAAGCTATTGATACCATGGTACAAGTGAGTGTGGTACTTGATTAATAGATGCTGAAATACTTCAATGATAATTGTAAAATACAAAAATATTTTTCCGAACTTCGGATATATAAAAATTCAATTTCAGGTGCGCCATTCCATGGAAGACCAAAAAAAGAAGATGATGGCTCTATCGGAAACTTTAGAACTTGCAAAGCGTGTCTTCCTACACCAGAAACGAGAAGTGCTCGTAGTCGAGGAAGCGTATATCAACTTCCGTGATGGAATCAAAGCGGTCCATTCTGATCTAGTTGAAATGGAGGAAAAAGGTGTCTATCCTGGTGTTTTATCTCCACAAGAAGAAGACAATCATCTCCTATATTCGAGTAAGTTTATTTCAGAAAAATATTAATTGAACATTTCTATAATCATCGAACGCAACCAGTTTCAGATCGTCAGCAAGGTGGTTGGGGGGACAATCGTAATCAAGTAGATATGGAAATGGATGATGACGAGCGACCACAAGCTCCTATGATGAAACCTCATTTGCAAGCACTCGTTGGAATATCATCTCAGCCTTCTCTCCAATCTAGAATCATGCAGTTGGGACTCCAAAAGATAGCCGATGGCGATGAGGATATGTTCCACCAGCAGACTATGGCCGCTCCCAGCGAAGAGTCGATGAATAAAGCTTCAACAACTTTTCAAGATCGGAATCTGTCTGCACCATCAGCTCCAATCAACATTAATCAATTCTCTGTGGTATGTTTCTTTCTTTTTTCTACACGACTATCAAATAATCTTTGTACTCGAAAAATTATTTCCTTTTCAGCCGCCACCAGCTATACCGTCAAATGTACCAGATCCGAGACTGCGGGCTGGCACTGAAGGTCCTTCTCAATATGCTCTAGCTCTTCAACAACACGGTCTTCCGCCACTGGCTCAGCACACTGAGAAGAAAGCTCCGCCTCATGCGGTCGCTCCTGCTTATCAACCTCCATTTGATCAAGCCCAACGCGATCCAAGATGTAAGAATACTTTGTTGTTTTTTTTCCAAATTTCAATCTTTATAGTTCCACAACACAATCAACCACCGCCGACCCAGCTCGTACAAATTCCACAACCGTCAGCTGTCGGGTACCAGGCACAGTTTGAGCAGAGAGATCCGAGAATTTCTCATCAGACAGGGCAACAAGTCTATCCACATTCATTCGATGGTATTTTGATTATATTCCTTCAAAAAAAAAATAAAAGAAATTTTTTCAGCTCAAAAACCGCCACTCAAATCTCCAACGGTGCAAACTGGACCGTATCAGGCGAGATTCGAGTCCTCACAAAGTCAGTTCCATCTCGGTATTCACAGTATATACGTACTTCCTTACAGTTTCCCCTCAAGTTATGACCCAATCGCAAATGAACCAGTATCATCAACAGTCGTTGGCTGGAGCATACAATAGACCACCACCACCTCAACCACATCTTCAGCAGCAACAACAACAACACCAGATTCATCAGCAACCTCAACGAGGATATACAGATTATCACTCTGGTGGCGGTGGTAATATATTTGCTGAGAACTTTTTTGTCTTAACCGTTCCCAGTTAAAGATCGCAGAGAAGACCGATTCAATAGGCGTGATGATCGTGGGCGCAACAAATATGACGACCGTAGAAATCATGACTATGATGATCGCAGAAAGTCAGCTCCGTATCCAAGAGGTGGTGGTGATCGGTGGAAAAACGGTGGAGGCTCGTATAATGACCGGTAAGTGTACCACTACAAAAAATATTATTTTCAATTCTTTTGTAGTGGCCGTAACGATCGGGACTGGAGAGGTGGAAGTCGCGGAGGTGGTTATGACAACAGATACTAGGGTTGCATAGCTTTCATTTTTGTCAAATTTCTGCATATATTCTCATTTTGTCAAGTTGATTCATTTTCCACTATTATATGGCCTTTGAATTTCCCTGCGAGCCTGTAACTAGGTGTTGATGTTCCTCCTTGCTTTTACTATAGCTTCCAAATCTCTATTTCTTATGATTCTCACCAAAAAGATTCCTTAATTTCTCCAACCAATTCAATTGATTCCCTTTGTTTCTGTTTCTACCTCGATACCTTGATGAAAATGTTTCTACTTTGCTTAACTTTGGTCACAAAGGGGTCTCTCATCATCCATAATAAAAAAATTTATTGATTCCTGTAACTGTAATTTTCAGAACCAAGTTTTTTCAGAACGATTCCGTGAAACTAATCGGAAATGTACCTGTAAATTTCTGAATAATTGATGATTTTAAAAATTTGAATTCCTTTGAAGCCTCATGAACGGTGACACAACAACAGAAGGATACGAAGTGGAGAGATGTGGAGAAAGTGAAGCAATTGATGAAGAATCAACGGTTGGAAATATTTGCGACTTTTTTATATTCAGCTAGACAAACAACTTGTTATTGGTGTTCATTTTCAGTTTTCAGGTGTCTCCTGATGCCGAGGATCCTCTACAAATTTTTCGTATGCCAAAGAAGATGAAATTAGCCGATAATGTGAAAAATTCCGATGAAATAATTTCAAAAAATCAGCGATTTTGGAGAGAAACTCTTCAAAACCAAAAGATTACCAAAGTCTTGGCACCAATGGTGGATCAAAGGTGATTTGTATGTTCATTCTTACATTGAAACCAAAAATTTTTTCAGTGAACTGGCATTTCGGTTATTCACACGAAAGTATGGTGCACAGTTGACATTCACTCCCATGATCCATGCTCATTTATTTGTCAACGATGGAACATATCGCAGGAATGCATTGGCTTTAGTGAAAGCTGATAGACCGCTCGTTGTACAAGTGAGCAGTTCTATAGAAATGGATTTTAAGACTAATTTTTTTTCAGTTTTGTGCGAACAAAGTGGACACTTTTCTAGCTGCTTGCCGTCTTGTTGAAGACGTTTGTGATGGAGTAGATCTGAATTTGGGATGTCCGCAAATGGTTGCGAAGCGAGGTCGATATGGTTCTTGGCTTCAAGACGAAGTAGATTTGATTTGTGAAATGGTGTCAGCTGTAAGGGATTACTGTAAGATTCCGGTTTCCTGTAAAATACGCGTAAGGGATGATCGTCAAGAAACAATCAGCTACGCTACACGATTAGTTGATGCTGGAGCTACTATGTTGACAGTTCATGGTCGCACGAGAGATATGAAGGGAGCTGAGACGGGCCTGGCCGACTGGACGCGAATCCGAGATGTTGTAGAAGCTGTTGGATCTAGAGTGCCAGTGATGGCGAATGGAAATATTCAGGTTAAATTAGCTAAAGTTCGTATTTTAAAACCATACTTTCAGTTCCCAGGAGACGTTGAAAGATGCATGGAAGCGACGGGAGCAGTTGCAGTGATGTCTGCTGAAGGGCTTCTCTACAACCCACTGATATTTGATGTAAAGAAGAATTTATGCCTGTTCAGTAACTGAAAACTTGTATTTCTAGGATGCTAACGCGCATGTGGAAACATGGAAAATCGCAGCTGAATATCTTGAATATGCTAGGGATTTCCATGCAGGAACAAGCGCGATTCGAGCTCACGTCTTCAGAATTTGTCATCATAGGTAAGTTTGAAAAGAATGCAAAGACTCATTCATGCTTTTTTAGCCTACTAGAGTATGAAGATCTTCGAATGCGTGTTTCTCTGGAGCATCGTGTCGAAGATTTTGAGAATATCGTTGAAGAGTTGGGAAAGAGGGCGAGAGCAGATGCAGAAGCAGGAAAAGAACGAGAAGTTGAAGCAAGAAAGTTATTTGAAAGTATCAGGTTATTCAAGGCATACTGTATAATTTAAATTGTTTTGTAATTTTCATAAATGGACAACTTATGGATGCCATCGAAGTTTCAAAGCAACCTCATTGGATTTCAAAACCCTATTTCCGTTTGAAAGAGGTAAATAAATATCTATCAACTATGAGTTTGGCCCTAAACGTTATTTTTCAGGTTGCCAAAGAATCGATTGTTGGAGAAGGCGAGAAGACGTTCAGAGAAAAACAGAAGGAAAAACTCGCACAAACTGCCAAAGAAATGGGCGTGTCTATGAAGTGAGTAAAAAAGTTAACTTAATGCTACAATGATCTTTGGCAATGATCTGAAAAAAACATTTTTCAGACAAGCTCGTAAAAGAGAACGTCGTCAACTGACAGGAGCTCGGATACTGGAAGCAAAGAAAATCAAATTTCCGCCATGTGCGAGATGTGGTCAGCCAGCTGGACAAGGATGTGTTCATAGCAAGTGCAAGAAATGCTGTAGATATCAATGCAAACATGAACATTTGGACTGTAAAGGTGAGTTCATCAATGAAAACATCCTTCTGATAGTGAGATTTTCAGCTCATCGTTATCTTTTCGCTAATCTGCCATCTGAATCTGTAATCGAGGTCTGATAACTGGAATTTGTCAATTCTTTGTTGCTTGTTTTTCTTGTTTTGTTCATTCGTATAAATTTTTGTTAATGTTTGTTTCGACTCCAAAATTTATCCATGAGAATTAAACAATTTAAAGAAAAACGCGTTATAGAAAATTTAAAATTGAGATTCCTTCGTTTTGGCTAATGACCATTCTCTTCAACAAGTCTCATTATGACACCGAGACGATCCGCGAGATTCTTCTGGAAATTGAAAAGTTCGAGATTATTCATGATCGAAAAACAAACTCACCAAATGATCCAATTGTTTCTTTTTGTACACAATTCCTCCCAAATCATCACACATATTCATATGAGCTCTTTCCGGATCTCCTGGTACTTGGGGTGGTCTATTAGGATTAATTGGAGTCAGGTTCCGTGTCTCATCGCAAAATTCTTGAAGACGAAGAGGGAATCCAGGAGCGAAGCATTCAGGATCGATTGCAATAAAGCATTGCCCCTGGAATTGTCAAAAATGATAAATATATACCTATGTTTAGTTGTTGGGATAGTGAGAGAAAGGTGTAAAGTGTGACAACATGCATACTAGAGATGCTCCCGAAAATCCAAATGCGCATATTATTTATTTTAGTACAAACAAAGAGCTTTAAAGCTAGCTTTGGCAGATAAACGCAGATGGCTGTGACAGAAGGTCCCAAAACGAATACTGTAACTTAAAATATTTTTATTTTTATAATTTAGTTTGGCACAATACTTTTCGTTGAGTTTTCTGTTTATTATCCCAAACAAGTCGAAAAATAAAATTTGTTGCTAGTGAATAAAATGACTGAAACCATTAAAATTGAGAAAAGTAAATTCAAAAAATAAACATATTTCAAGGTTACTGTAGTTTTCGTTGTGGGGCCTTCGGCCACGGTCACATATTAAAATGTACAGTATTCTCTTCACTAGAAGCCCAAACAAACGTCAAATTTGAGCCACTTCATCTGATTTTCTATGTAAAATATCAAAATTTTGTCAACTGATAAAGTATTGATGATATTAGGATCAATAATTTATCAGTTCGAAAAATTTCGATGCCTTTCACAGTAATCGAGATAATTGAGCTGAAAGTTGACAGTTTGGGCGGGCTTCTATTAGAGGGAATACATATACCGTAAACTATACTTGCCCGTTGAGCTCATTTATCTCAATTTATATGAGGTATATCAAAAATCTGCTCACTGATAAAGTGCTTGTCATAATAACATCAACATTATATCGGTGGCCTTCTATTAAAGTGTTAACGGTAATCAATCCGACTCGCTCTCTCGAAAAAGATATTTTGATAGCCTTGATGGTTTCTTTTTCGCTTTCAAGAAGAATTCCTACGATGGGTAAGCGATGCTTGGATCGGGTCTTGTGATTTCTTGGTGATTCCAAAGGTGCCATGCATGCAGACGACTGACGTGATTGTCAGTTGTTGAGTTACACACATACCAATTCAATGGCACTCACCAAATTGGCGCCTTTCTTCGAGTTTTCTATAGTCATCGCCTTTTTGGGGTTATCAGAACTCACCAGATCCGCCGTCTTACTTGTTGTTTGCCATTGGCGAATGTTCTTTCCGAACGCCGAGCCACCCATAATTCCACAAAGAACCTCAACCATCATACACAATCCAGTTCCTACAATCCAAAGATTAAATTTTCTGGGATTAATAATGCTTTTTAGAAAAATTCTACCTTTATATCCTCCGGTGATTTCCGATCCTCCTAATGGTTGAAGACCTCCTCCATCAAGAACTTCCTTTGGATTATGAGTTTCATCTCCATGTTTGTCAGCTCCCCAAGTGCTTGGAATCCAAGTTTCTCCTTTGCGATCAGCCACTTCGATTTTTCCATAGGCAACGGTGGTAGAAGCCATGTCAAGGAAGAATGAATCTCCGTCCATTCCAGGAGCAGCCATACAGATTGGATTGGATCCCAATGATTTCTCCCGCGATCCAGTTGGGAAGACACATGGAGAAGTGTTAGTAAAAGCCATTCCCTAAATGTCGTCTCATTGAAATCAAATTCTTAATTCAGAATGAAAAAGTACCACAAGACCTTGACGGCATGCATATTCAGCATACCATCCAGCTATTCCAAAATGATTCGAGTTACGGCAAACAACCCATCCGATTCCAAACTCTTTTGCCTTCAAAGTCAAACAGTTTTATTGAGTCAATAGGTGTTATGATACCTTTTCAACTGCCAATTGCATACAAAAGTTTCCAACTACAGGTCCCAAAAGATTATTTCCATCAACCCAAGCCGTGCTTCCTTTGGATTTTATCACTTGAGGAGTACCCGTAACAGCTGTTGATTTCATCATTAGGTCATGGACATAAATGTGTAAACGATTGATTCCGTGAGAGTAATGTCCTCTGTAAAGTGTTTTGAATTGTGAAAGAGGATATGAATAGCATACTGTCTACCTGTAATCAGAGCAAAGAAGGGTTTCAGACAATTGTTGGGCATGTTCTCCAACGCATCCAACTTTAGCAAGACATTCCAAAACGAAACAGTCTAGCTGAAAAATATTATTAGTTGTAATAATGTCGAATCATTGCAAAGGAATTTCAAAAACTCGCAAACCCAGATTTTGACGAAAATGTCAGGATAGGTTAAGAATAGCCTATCTAAACACTTCTGAACATTTAAGGCATGGATGAAATTTTCTCAAAAAAAAATATTTTTTTATATTTTTCGAATACCGTAAACCTGTTGTAAAAGGGTCGCTTAACTTTGAGTCAATTTTTCTCGGTTCCTGTCAAAGATATCAAAAAGTTGTCAACTGATAAATTGTTTATCATAATATCACGAGCATTTTATCAGTTAACACATTTTTGGTATTTTGCATAGGAGTCAAGAAAAATTAGCTGAAACTTGTTTTACGGTATTCGAAATTTAGAAAAAATTGGTTTCCGAGAATAAAACTGAAATATGACATTTCATTGAATTCTAAGTTCAAGAACAAATTTCATGTTCTGAAATGCCGTAGAAGTTGAGAAAGTCGACGTTGAAAATTGTTGTTTTGCACTGAAAACGCGCTTTTTGTTACTGAAACTGATATAACTCTGCTGAAACTGGCAATCGGATTCTAACATTTATTTTCAGATGTAGACTATTCTTAACCTATCCTGAAATTTTCATCAAAATCTAGGTTTACAATGTATTGACGTTCCTTGTTAGTTCTATTGGAATTTGTTTCCATTTGCAAGACTATACCGAATATAGCCGGAAATCCAAAGATTTGCAAAAAATCTTCGATTACAATAACCAACCTTTTCTTTTGATATCACAATCTCATCTGTTTCGTTGAACTCTCTTTTCTCTTTAATAGTCATCGTCGTTGGTCAGAAATTGCCTGTCTCTCCACTGAAAAACAAAAGTATAATCAGAGAATATATAAAGACTGAATGAGTATGATCACAAACTTCGAAATCTTTATCAATCACAGTGATCGTAAGACTTTTAGAAGACAGACACAGAAAAGAGAGATGATGAAATGAGATCAGACGGGCCACATATTTTAAAAGGACACAGAATACAGAAAAAAGAAAAGGGTGAGATGATTCAATGATGATAAGGATTCGGATAATCCGACGAGGAGAATGATAGATCTTTGAATTCTTTTAGGTTTGCAATCAGGGTACAAAAGTGATTGATCGTTAAAGTAATTATGTTTTTTCATTTATTGTCGAAATAAAAAAAAGTAGGACCTGAGAATTTGAAAGGCGTAGCTTTTTTTTGATCTACGAAAAAGTGCGGCAAAAACGTAATATTTCAGAGTTTCGCCTCGTTCGAGCTACTTTTGCAATTAAGTTCGGTTTTTCGCTGAAAAACAGATTCTAGAGATGCTAGCGATCATTTTCATACCAAGAAACATAAATTTTGTCCAGAAAATCCCACTAAATTCACAGAAATAAGTTTCGTTTACTACCGTAGTGTTTTTGGGGCAAGGCCTCGAAAATTGACCGGGACGCCGCCCGCGAAATTTTTCAGGTTCCACTTTTTTTCATTCGACAATAAGTTCAGAATATCAACGATGAAGATATATTTCTGGCTTCTAACAAATGAGATAAGAAATTTTCTTTTGGGTAGAAGAAGATATAGGAGATTGATTGAAAGAAAAAATGATACTGCAGAATTCTGTAGCCTTAATTGGATATTGAGACGGTATTTCAATTCGACTAGTGATGAACGAATAATTTGAACATCTACAATACCGAATTGAAAATTTTCCCCATTTTATGATTTCAGTAGAAAATAGTTAACGTCCTGGATTCAGACCTTCCCAACGTGTGAGTCCTTCCAAATTAACTACCATAAACCTGTGATAGAAGATCACCCTACATTTTAAATTTGAGCCGATATGAATATGAAAGCAATTTTATCAGGTGACACATTTTTGATATCTTGCATAGGAATTGAGATAGTTAAGCCCAAACTTGACAGCTCGGGGGCCCTTCTATTACAGGTTTTACGGTATGCTGCCCGTAACCAAATAAAACCTGAAATAATCGAAACTAAAGAAGCATATTTATTTTCGAAAGACATGAATATTTTGTTAGATTACTTCGTACGATAGAGTGACCAACCACAAAAACAGAGCTAGCGTATTTCCTCTAATAGAACACCTAAGATATCCACTTTGACCTCAATTATCTCGTTTCCTGGGAAAGATATGAAAAATGTGACAACTAATAAACTTATGGTGAAATTATCATAGATAATTCATCAGTGACAAAATTTTAATATCTTGCAAAGTAACCAAGATAAATCGACTCAAAGTTGACAAGGCTTACGTTGCCGTAAATGCACTAACCCTATACGAGCTCAGTTATCTTATTTCTTTTTAAAGGTATTAAAATGTTGTCAACTGATAAAATATTGGTGATATTATGTTAAACAATTTTATCAGTTGACAAACTTATGATATCTTATACTGGAATAGAGATAATTGATCTAAAAGTTGACGCTTGGTTCTTTTAGATGAAATACGGTATAATTTTGAAGTAAAAACAAATACAATTTACAATACTTGGGGATAAATTATAATTCATTTTTCTAGACTTCAAAAAATAAATATTTAACAGAAAATTATTTCAAGGCTAAAATAATTCAGAATTTCCGGCAAAGTCTAACTGAAAAACACATTTGACTACGATAAATCTTGAAGACAAAAAACTATAAATCGAATTCCACCGGAAACAGAGAAACCCACTGACGATTTCTTTAGAATTCGTCAAAATACCTTCAAAAGAAAAGAATCGAATGAGTGGTGTGACATAGAACATTATCGAAATAACCCGTACATAGCACAGGTTAACGAGTACGTCATCAGAACGAATACAGAATACAAATGAATAAGACGTTGCGAAGACAAAAAAAAAAGAAAGATAAGATATCAGTGATAAGAAACGATTGAAGAAAAAATTAGGAACGATAAATCAAAAACCCAACCCCGTTTCTGAAAAGTGCAAGATAATTTGTTAACTATTTTTTTTGTACTATTTTCGGACAACAGTTTTCAAATTTGTTATTTTTCAAGGGCCTCGAAAATTTATAAAGAAAAACATTTGCTCGATGCCCTGATGTTGTTTTTATTCGCAGGAGAACTCTCATGCGCCCGGATTGTAGTCTTATGATGCTATTGTTTTTGTTTGTTGTTGCAAAAAAATAGTTTAGAATTTCATTTGATAATTATTTGTTATTCGAGTTGAAAATGCCGAAAAAGTGAAAAATATGAAATGTGTCAATGAGTAGAAAGAAAAAGGTCGAGGGAGTTTTTGAAAGCGTTGGATCCTCGCATTGGGTTGGGGGGACTCTTAAAAGGTGTGTATAACAGAATGCACAAAGATCGACCAGTAGATTGGGGGAAGAAGTGATCAATAAATTAGATATAATACAAGAAGAATTGGAAAATTTAGCACCGTCTTGGGAATGAGAGAAAAATTTCAGAAATACATAAAAAGTGGGGAACACATGTTTTGAAAGAAGTAGAAGTTGAGGAAAGGCAAGATGGAACAACGTAAACCAATTTGAGTATATGTGAATAGGAAACGGGTAAAATTTGAAAATTAAAACTAAAGCCCGGGGGGAAGGAACCGTACAATGAGCATTTTTGAAGTTTTGAGAAGCGATACGGAGAAAGCAATTATTTCCCCTTCTTCTTGCCATTTCCAGGTGTGGCGTCTGATGCCGCTTGTCTTTTGTTCTTCCTGTGGCCTCTTTTAGGTCCACCCATTGCAGATCCGGGATCTGCAGCTGTGTAAGGTGGTGGTGGTTCCAGAACAATCACAGCGGGAGAAGAACTTGAAGCTCCAGGAGGCGGTATAGCAGCTATCAAAGGAATTGGAGGGCCAGCCACGCCGATTGGAGGAGGAACGGCAACTGGAACTTGAGGAGCCACTAGTGGTGGAGCAGATGGACGTGCTGATGGGGTTGTTCTTGAAGTTGGAGCGCCGGCTGAACGTGATTGTCCAGCAACAGCACCCGATGGAGTACTTCCTGCAGCAGCACGATGGCGTTGACGATGTTGACGCTAGAATAGTTAGATATATTTTGCGCAATTATATTTTTCAACTTACGATGAGAGTTCCAGGTCTAGTGAGAGTTTGATAAATATTGAGCGCTGGTGGTTTATTTGGATTTGTGCTAGGTGTGTGAACTGCGCAACACTTTACAAACAACGCCATAATAACTAAGAAACCAATACCACCGACACCGACAGCCCACCAGTTATCCTGAAACATCCATATTTTTTGGAATGTCTTTTGAAATAATTTTCAAACCTGAGCCCATTGAGTCAGTGTCTCTATCGTCTTCTTATCGAATAACAAGTTTTTGAGCCGAGCCAATGGTCCGTTAGCATCAACGCTTCGACATTTTCTGAATATATCACAATATCCTTTGTAGTTGTTACATGGTGATCCAGGATGCAGGATAAGTCCAGGTTTTCCTTTTCTCATATTTTGAAGGAAATTCGTTCGATTTGCAGCAAATTCAGGAAGATGAACAGACGACGTACATTCTAAAATAGAGAAAGTAAAGAAATAGGGCCATGTCATTCGGATACTTACTTCCATCTTTGATACATGCCAAGAAGCACAACTCGTCCGGTTTTCCTTCGGTTAGGAAACAATCTTCGAGTCCGAACATTGCACAGACTGAACCGTTACATTGTCCAGCTGAGCAAACCTTTGTACTATCTTGACAAGGAATACCGTCATGCTTTGGTGGAGATACTGGACATTGAGCACTTCTTCCATCACACGTTTGCAGATTGGAACACTCTGATTCCTGACGACAAATCTTCTCTTCGTTTTTGTTATGAAGCGAGCAATTTTCAGGGTTACAGCAGTATCCTTGAGACGGTGAGCATTGAGCACCTGGTTTCCTTTTGCAAGGCCCTGGTCCACCTGTACCACGTGCTTCGTGCGGAACGCAACACTTGTCACCCATTTGATCACAATCTGCTTGTGAGAATCCACAGTCACATTCCTCTCCTGGCTCATAAATTTGATTTCCACAGAATGCAGATGTTCTCTCTTGGAAGCAGTTTCGTTTTCCATAACCAACTGGGTTCGCGTTTCGAGTTGGATCTACAGGCATTGATTTGAGAACAACGGCAAGAACAGAGGAAATATTTTTGATGGAGCAGGGGGAGAACTTCCCATTGTTCGGTTTGTCTCCAGATGTCGCAGATGCAAACATAATGAAGTTACCATCGGGAAGACCGGGTTGGCATTCTGTAAACGACAATGTTGAGAAGTGTTCGACACCAAAAACAAACCTTACCTGCTGGGAAATCGTGAGGAGATCCAAAATTGTGTCCAATTTCGTGAGCAAGAGTTAGCTGAGAAACTCTAGCTGGGACTCTATTTCCGTAGTTAACAAGAGTGACGATTCCAGTGTTCAATGATCGATAAACCCATCCACGACTGCCTTCGTTGTATCTCTGATGAACTTGACATATTCCACCGGCGGTATCTGGAAATAATGCATGAAGATATATGTTTTTAAGAACATTTTTAGATCTGAAAATTCTTTTCTAGCACAAACTACATTTAAAAAAAATATATATAAACCAACTTACTGAACTGTGGGCTGGCCACCCAAGCCAAACCAAGGGTTCCTCCGACAAAGTCACGGAAAGTGAGAGCATATGCAAGACAGAATGCCGAATGATTTCTTTGAGAGTTCAAGTTCAAAAAGTTGGAGACATCAACATTCTGAAAAATGATTGATAGAATTCCAAAATTCTAAAATACAGTACCTCTTCACAAAACGGATTGTCTGAATCAGTCTTTGCTCTACCACGATCACAACTCTCAGGAGTGTAGATCTAGAAATTGGAATTACCTTTCTTCAAAAGTAATGGGAAAACATACTGAAGTTCTTTGAATCACAAAATGAAGTCCTTTAATTCCGTTGAAGTTGGTTCCTTCGTAAATTTCATTGACTGCTTTGATGTGATTGTAGAACAAACTGACAATCTCCTCTCTCGTTCGGATAGGATCATTATTTCCTTCCTTCATTCTTATGTGCTCATAAAGTTTGTGATCTGCTTGCATATAAAGTGAACACGTCCGCACCGAATAAAGCCCATCCGAGTCCCGAGTTGCTCTTTTCGATCTACCAGACATCGTCATGTAATTTGAGAAGAAATCGGAATTCTCTCCGGAATTCTGAATGCTCGACATTTCACGACGAACACGACTAGAGAGACCACAACCTTGCATTTGCTCGGCAAGGTTTTCAGCGTCTCTTTTTACTCTCCATTTTCGGTGATTAATTTCATCATCTCGAAAAATGATGGAGTGATATTGACTTGGTCGATCGTCTCGTTCGAAATATTTCGCAGCTTTGTCGATTGAATAACGGCTTCCTTCACCAGTCTAAAAAATCGAATATTGTAAATACAGATATCTTTTAAATTAATTACTTGAATGTGTCCCTCGAAAACTCCATCGAATACACTTCCATGAACATGGGAATTTGGATCGTCTGAAAAATTGAATATATACCTACCTGCATAATTCTCTCAATTTTAAATACCTTTCAAATATCCTTCGTAAAGAAAATGACTCGGCTTAACATCGGCAAAACCTCCATCAACATCTGTCACATGATCGTCGTGGAATAATGAGTCATCAATAGGATGTAATTGAACATGGAACGTCCTGAAAATTGAATATTGGTTCAAAAAGCAAAGCTCTCAGGTTCTAATACTCACCGATTGTAAGCATTGAAACGGAAACCAATGGGCTCCTGGTAATGCGATGCAACTGAATCAATTGATCTTTTTCGACGGGAAACCTGAAATACATATTTATTTGAAATGAATGTCATTTGTTTAGAATTCAGCTCAACCAGCCAATTAAAAACAAAACTGCTACCTGATTGGCAACATGTGTTGCCCGATAGTTGAGCGTTTCAAAGCTGTCAATAAAACTGTTCAATCCGTTGGTATTTTCGTATAGAAGACAAAAAATGAATGTGAAATGAAGTTGCAGTCGAAGTCTGCTCATCCTAATCTGTGAACTAGAAGTAATTGAAGCATTCGGTTTTGAAAATTTACCTAAATTAAACCCTCTGGAGAATATCCTATAAATTGTGTGAGCGAGGTTCCCGTATTTGCCCGTCGTTTTCTGCAATACAAAGTATTGAAAATACGGAAAAGGTGATAAGAGATAATAAATATAAGTTGCGCAGAAGGTTTTGGTTGTGTCATTATGATAATTGAGTATTCTTTTTGTAATCAGAACGGTTTGGTGATGTTTGAGCAAAACAACGACTAATTCGGTGAGGAAAAAGGGTGGTTATAACTGTGATGAGTAAAAAATTGGATTAATAATAAATTTCGCAATGGAAAAATTACTTTTCGGTTGAACATGGGGAACAAACTTAAACTGTAGTTTTAAGTTTCAAATGAAATCAATAGAATGCCTTTAGGAGGTACAGGTTAAGCGGAGACGTCTTCTCTCGCTAACCAGAGCGGGGCCGTCGTCTGTGTGACCACCATAATGGCCGACACTCGGAGGGAAAAGGCGGGCGAGATATTGTACGGGAACATGAGGCGTTTAGAGAAAAATACATAGACAGATGGACGGATGGACGGTGAGAGAGTAGGTAAATGAGAGAAGCAGATGAGAAAATGAAAAGATGATTCCCGGGAGGTCCATACCTCGAGGGACGTTCAAAAGAAGCGCCATTTATTTTTTGAAAGTTTCTCTCCGCGGTGAAAAGTTTCGAATGTGCAAGCGGATAAACAACGAACGTCACAACATAGGATATCTAGAGACTGCTACCGTACCTCACATGGAATGTTATAAGGGGATTTTTAAAGAAAAGAAAACATCAACCGGGATATACATTTGAAATTTATTGCGGATGAACAGAAATCCATTGCAGATGTGCCCTACATGTGCATCTTATTTGCCTCAAACTGGATCACCAGTTGGCGGTGGTATTAGTTAGTTCTTAGGTTTTTGACAGGTGTCATTACTTCTCATTTTCCTCCAAATGGAGGTCTTTCTTTGTGAAATGAAACACAAGGCCATCTGCAACGGGTGAAGTGATGTGAAAAATGAACGGAATTTGAGAAAACTATAATAAACGGAACCTGAGAAAAAAAACATAAAATCTCTCCTAAAGCCGCCGATAAATCGAAAGTCTGAACAATGATTTTGAAACATTATGAGAAAGAAGCGGAAATGCATTGAATTTAGCGATTTCTTAAGAATTTCAATTTGCTTCAAATGTAGTTCTAAAAGTTTTTTCTATAAGTTTTTTCTAGATTTTTCGAAAGAGCAGATTAAAGAGGAAGAACCTATAAAGCGCTCTGTACTGTTTGCTCTCTTTTCTCTCGTGTTCTTTTCCTTTTTTCACTGACCTATCTCACAAAACTAACTAGCCTGCTCTTAGGATCTCGGATAGAGAAACAGAGAAATGGTCATTTTCTCGCACTTTTCCTCTTTATTCTCGGCGATGGTGTGGGACAGTGAAATTACAAGTGCAAACTGAATGATTCATCCTTCAAACATTCTCGTTTCGTTTCTTGTCGAGAGAAATGGTTCAAAAAAGGAAGATGACAAGAGAGAAAATGGAATTAGTTTCGAACTCAAGGAAAAGGACATTTTTTCACAAAGTGCAATTGCTTTGAGAAGAGAAGGCTTTTAAGAAAACTCGAGAAACCAATTCTGTGGAAATCATAAGCAAAAATCGGAGGTATAATCTCAAATTTTCGAAAAAATCTGTTTAAAATAAAAATTGTTGCGGCTTCTTCTGCGAACAAAACCGTAGATTTCTTCAAAGGCGCAAGCGCCATCTGCAAACTACTAATGGTCCTGTAGCGCAATTCAAATTATAGGGTTGGGCCTTTAATAAACCTTACGGTTTGGCAAATTGTTATTTTGGACACCAAATTTTCAAAAAGAAATTTGAGTGAGGAAAAGTATTTAAAAGTTTAGATGATTTCCAAAAAAAATTGCTTTATCGGTTGAAATTATTACTATTACAGATTTTCAGTTATTATTGTCGAAATTTGGTTGAATAAAATAGACAAAATTGATATCTTCCCCAACCTAATTAGTTTTTTTATTCGACAGGCAAAATTTAAAAAAAAACTGAATTTTTGCTTTCTCGTTGAATGATTCCATAAAGATTCTACTCTTAACGCAGTTTGACGAAAATGCTGAAGATATCAAATTGGGGGATCTGGTTTGAAATTATCTGGATGGTTGCTTTCAACGCACATAGAAGACGAAATCAATGAAACTGGAGTATAATGATGGGAAGAACGGAAAGGGTTGGCAGTAGTAGAAACAACTCAATTGTCAGAATTCCTTCCTCTCTCTCTCTTTCTCTCTCCTCATTCGCTTTCCCTCCTATTCTTCACGTTCGAGTGGCATCGTACCTCTTCAGGGTGAAAGAGAAAGAGGCTGTTAATTTATTCTCTGTAGAACTCCACTACTTCATGTTATATTTGGGAAAGATTTTGTTAACCCCATAAGGTGGAGATAATATGTACATAAATTTGAAAAATATTGGGGTACTAAAAAGTTTGGAAATCACCATTTTCTTCCGTTTCAGATAACATCAACATGAATCTAAAAGAAATTCTGGGTCATCAATGAACATTGTTTTCATTTCTGAAAGTATGCATCCTCAACAACGGAATGTACTGCCTTTTTACGACCACCGACCCACAATTTCATTTTTTATCGCCAAAAACTTTCTCTCATTCACTCCCACTGTCCGGTTTTACCTTTACTACGTACATGAAACTTACGGTCGTTCGACGCAAAACATAGAGAAATTTATTTACTTTTTTCACAAATATTTACAAAAAACCCCATTCATATTCTACAGAATATTTTACAAAAAGTATTTTCAATGCCTGCAATAATTCATGAGAAGAAAGTTTGTTTTATTATTTTCAGTAGCATAACATACCGTTAAACCTGTATTAGAAAGGCCGGCCCTTCAATTAGACAGGGCCCTCGTATTTTTCTGGTCATTTTTTTTCGAAAATCTATAAATTCCACTAAAATTAGCAAAAAATGTTTCAATAATTTTCTGTGAAATAGTGGAATTTTCCGGAATACTTTTTGCTAAAAACATACGGAAGTTTTTAATTTCATGCAATTCAATTTTGAAAAAGGAGGGAGCCTTCTACCAGAGGAGTTCTTTTATTTTCCCAAACCCTCTCTTGGAGAGCTCATTTAATATAATCTATTGAAGGGGTCCTAAAAGGACCTTTTTTACATACAGGTTGTACAGAATCTTTTTTTTTTAAGAAAAAAGTTTTAAATAAAGATTTTATTGGTTCATTAAAAGTTAAATATGACTATTGTCGAATTAAAAAAAGTGGGACCTGGAAAATTTCGCGGCCGGCTTCCCGGTCAATTTTCGAGGCTTTGTCCCAGAAACACTACGGTAGTAAACTAAACTTATTTCTGGGAATTTAGTGGGATTTTCTGAACAAAATTTAGATTTCTTGGTAGGAAAATTATCGCTAACATCTTTAGAATCTGTTTTTCATCGAAAAACCGAACTTAATTGCGAAAGTAGCTCGAACGAGGCAAAAAACTGAAATATTACGTTTTTGCCGCACTTTTACGTAGATCAAAAAAAGCTACGCCTTTCAAACTTTCAGGTCCCATTTTTTTTAATTCGACAATACACATCCCGCACCTCTACCGTAGTCTTATGCATATGTTCAGATCCTGAAATTGGTTGATCCGTAAAGTCAAAAATCTCAACAGCTTCAGCAACCGGGAAAGTAATACATTTCAAAGGATTCATTAGTTCAAGTTCCCTGTAAAAAGTATACTAGGATAATAGTAATAATAGTCATTTTGTACTCTGAACCTGAACAATTGCTTTCTTTTTCTACCCAATTCTCACCCCGGCTGACGCAAAGATTTTAAGACGAAAGGTCATTTGTCCTTGAGCAGCTGTCATAAGATTTTGAAAGACTTATTTCAGTTCCAAAGTCATTTGCTCGTCTTCATCATGGTCATCAGTTAAGTGCAGCCGACCAAAAGGTCACAGGAGATTTCAATGCAGAAAAGGGGCGTGGTTTGGGAGTGAGCTCTTAAATCTCCGAAAAGCTCCAATGAGCCCTCAGTGTTCATTAGCTACTCAGACATACCACTTCTTTTGCTCTCTTTCGAGTTTCGAAATATTATTATATTTCCTGCTGCTGAATAGACACCTATTATTCTTTCAAAAGTCCATCTTCAAATTAGAATTTTAAACTATTTCGAACTCTTTCCAATAGTTAAAGTTTATTATTTTTGGATCCCAGAATGCAAATCTAACTATATTGATCTTGAAACCCAGCTCAAAAAAACATAGTAATATTATCTATAGATTTCTTTGAATCAAGTTTAAGGGTTTCGAGTTTTCAAGTGTTCTAATTTTTGCATTCTTTAAAAATTTGTCTACCGTATTTCCTCTAATAGAAGCCCACCCAAGTCGTCAACATTGAACTCAGTTTTCTCGATCCCTGTGTAAGATATCAACATTTTGTCCTGATAAATTATCTATGATAATATCACCCTCATTTTATCAGTCGACAATTAGTTGACATCTTTCACAGGAATGGAGATAAATCGACTCAAATGTGACAGGGCTTCAGTTGCCATACTAACCCAACGCGACCCTATACTCCCGCTTTGTGATTATCTCAGTTCCTACCAGAGAGATCAAAATGGTGTTAACTGATGAAATCTTTGTGATATTACGATTAAAAAGATGTTATTTAATCTTTTTTATATCTCCCACAGGAATCGAGATAATTGTGCTCGAAGTTGACGACTTGGTTGGGTTTCTATTAAAGGAAATACAGTTTGTAAGCAGTATGTTCCACCAAATAACTTTTATCAGAGTATCTTGGTAAAACTTTGTTTAAACTTTGTTTAACATTTATTACCGAATCTGAAGTGATCTCAATAGCTTACTTCAAACTCCACATACAAACAATAAATGATCAAATTTTGGTCAGGATCACATTCTTTTGATTTTCAAAATATTTTTCCGTATAGTATTGATCAAATTGTCAAGTACACTACCAGCTGACTAAACCTTTCTTCTTTTAGTCTCGATCATCTGTTCTCACCTGCTTCATCATCAGTTGGTACATTACTTTGGGATGTCCCTCCAGAAAGAGATAGAGAGAGAAAAAAAACACGAGTGGTCTGAGATCCGAATGGGTCATTTGAGAAAGCATTTGAGCAATCAGTAAGCGAACTTACTCGAGCAGTTGTCATGTGAAATTTCACGTGGACTTTGCTTTGAGCAGATATATAACAATGGATCTTCGAGTCGATTGGTGACCTTCTTTTAGTCTCGGTTCAGAACCTATCTTGATAGTTTTAATCATACTTCAGAAGAATTAATTTCCGAATTATCAAAATTTCTAAAGTACTTTTAATTCTCTTGTTTTAAAACTACTGTATATTAATCTTCCAATGTTATTCTTTGTAACCCCTACCCTTGTAATTTTTCAGTCTAAAGCATAATCTTTTAAATAGTTTGTCGAGCTTTTGGTTCTGTACAACTTTCCCCTTAAAAAGGGGGGGGGGTAAAGATGAGAAATTCGAAGTTTGATTCCCATAAGCCTCTCTAGGATAAACGTCCTGATCTCCCGTCTTTAATTTAAGGTAGTACTGTTAATCTAAAAATTTAAGCATTTTCTGCATTCCAATTTTCAGGTTCTCATTTCTATTTCATCTGGAAAAAGGTAGTGATCGGAAGCGGAAAAAAATAATCTTAAAAATTGTGATTTCCAAATCTTTCAAATAAGCTAAGAACTCTTTTGCAAAACACAGTGCGAATGAAACAAAATGAGAACCAATTTTATTTTGGTGTGAAGATCTACCGTAATCCTCCAATAAAAAATTCTTATTCAATACCCCTTTTATTTTCCTAGCTCTATTTTCCTCTTTTTTTATCTCCCATCTGAAATTTCTCATCTCTTTAGAATCAGCTGGCATCACATCTAGAGAGGGAATAGTAGACGTCAACGTCTTCTTTTTTGCTATGTTACACATACACACCCTAATCAAAATTTCGCATCTTCTTTCGTTTTTTTCTTCTTCTTCTTCCATCGTATTTCCCACATTTCACTCTTCTTTGTCCCTTTTTGCTTCTTCTTTCAGCCATCACAAAAAGGCATAAAAGACACGAGAGGAATAGAGATGGAAAGTGGAGAAAAAATAGAATTGGAATTCGAGAAAAAAGGGGGAAAGATGCAGGAAAACACGCCTTCTCCACTGCGCACATTTCTCTTTCTGCTTTCGTGTATTTGTCTCTAATTATCGGCAACTCTTCGTCTCATACACTATTTCCTGTCGGGTGCTCTCAAAATGGAAACCGTCGATGTGTCTGCGCTTCCATCTCACATGACACTCTCTTTGTTTCTTTCTCTAAAACTCTCTACACTCGGCTTCTGAGGAGAAAGCTTGTCTAGAAACGACTCGGCCACCAAGTAAAAAGAAGAAGAAAAAGAACTGGCAGCAGCTGATATTGCATCTGTGAAGGTCAATTTTTGACCGACCTCTTCAAGTTTCACTTTCTAATGATGGTGGTTTTCAATTAGAATTCTTGACACAAATCTTTTATTTTCTATTAGTTCTGAAAACTACCATATTGCCCTTCAGAATCGTCTCTCTTGGGACATTCTCAGCTGACCAAAGATGGTTGGACTACTTCTAATGAAAGCTAAAAATAGTTTAGCTAGAAATCCAAATGATAAGGTCTATATTATGTCACTTTCTATATTTTCACCAACTTTCTCCACGATAAAAATCTTGATTCAGATCTAGATAAACAAATTTTAAAAATATTTTTTCCGACCTAAAGGTCTAGAATCCTCTCTCCTCATTATAATTTTTGCTTCGCTTCTTCTCCAATCTATACTTCCAGTTTTCATATCTGCTTCTCCCCCACCTATCTCCTCCCATCAACATGTTTATTTGTTTATTCATTCAGTGTCGAATCAACCATTCGATTTGTTTTTGTTTTCTCTCTTAGACCCTCCTTATACCATCGGAAATGTATGAAGCAAAAAAACACTTGACTTTTCGTGGAGCTCATGTTTTTTCTTCTCTATCTTTGTGTCTCCTTATAGTCTGACAATTCCCTCTCAAACGGAAAAGGCAAATTAAGTGGGAAGAAAGAAAAAGGAGAAAAATCAACGTTTTTTTTCTGAGTTTTCTTAGGATTTCTTCTTTCAAAGTTTTCTCGAACTGGAAATTTTTCACCAATGCTGTGGCATGGCCGGGTGCAGCATTTTTATAGGATTCTTCTGAGATACCATTTCTTTCTGAGACACCATTTTTTTTTCATTGACCATTTCTAGGAATTCGGAGTCATCACTTTGATAATTTTGGAGGTTATAAAACATATCTAGATTGAAAACTTTGCATTCACAGAATTTTTCGGAAATTATTAGTTTTCAGTTATTTGCCGATTTTTGAAGGACACATGTTTTTTCTATTCTTGTACGGAAAATGTAGAAAAGCAGGTGTCTTTTAAAAATCGGCAAACAACAAGAAAACTAGGAACTTCCAAAAAATTCTGTAAATGCAACGTTTTCAATATAGGTCTGTTTTATAACCTCCAACATTGTCAAAGTCATCGGACACTTGACAGCCAAGCTTCAGACTCCTGAAAATAGTTAATATCCACTAAAAACCTCGTTTTTCATATATTTATGGCTGGTACCGTAGGCAGGTACGAACGAATTTTTTGAACCTTTCATTTTGAACCATAGTTTTAAAATCGTAGGACTACTGTATCAATATTATTTCAACACGTTTTCTCCTCTATCATTTTATCAGTCCTTACCTTTCTCTTCTTGAAAGGTACGTACCTTCCCTATAGTGTCAGTCCACCATCCTTATCTTTTAACGATGTTTTCCACTCCCAATGTTTCCGTGTTTATTTACCTCCATTCTTTCATAAATAATGTTCTTCTCCCTTTCCCCCCCCCCCCCCCACTTTCATACTTTAAAAATTTCAGAATCACTTCCCAAACTCGACTACAGTATGCCTTTCATTGGTCGTGATTGGCGAGCACCTGGTGAAACGTGGGTTCGTACTCCACATACAAATGGATGGGAACAGACTAAATTGAGACCGGTGCAGGTGAGAAATCCATGTATTCTGAATTCTTTGGAAAATGAAGCAGCACAGCATGCATTCTTTGTTGTCTCCATGATGTGTACTGAGGTTGCTCCAAGTGTGAGAGTAACATAGAGTTTTGGATCATATTACACAACATATACATGTGCGCATCTGCCCATAAATTTTAGAAAAGAAGAAGGAAAAGTAGGGTTTGCGACAACGATGTGCGAGAGGGGGACAACTTTTTGCACTCTCCGGATTTTGTCCCAAAAAAGATTTTGAATAAGACGGATTATGGAAAAGTTTGTAACACGGAAGAATCAACTTTTTTTGTTTTCAGATTTCGTCAGAACCAATTTTGATTCCTCAAGTGTCTTCTAGTCCAACTCTCGGAAGTAGTTCATCTCCAAAGTTCATTCTCGATTCGGGTTCATCAGCATCTTCAGTTCCGAAATTCAGCCTCTACGATTCTGAACAAAACAGTTCATGTGGATCTCTACCTGGATCCGTCACCGAAAGTGCAGATGACTCTGGTGAGTTTTTGAGGCAACTAATTAAAATGATGATTAAAGTGTAATTCTCTCTTTGGTCATTTATGATCTTTCGGTGATAAGAGAACAGCAGAAAAAAAACAAGACGGCGGATCAGCTGATATTCTTTGAGAGCACACATATGACTGAGTGGCGACTCGACACATGACGTGAGGAGCAGAGCACTTAGAGCAATTGCTCCAAAACGTCACGAAAAATAATTGGTTTCGAACGAGGTTCCAAAGTTACACAAATACACAGGAAAGGCGCGACGGGCTGGAAACGGGCGACATAAATATATGGAAAAAACGTGTTTTCAGTTGATTCTGACCATTTTCAGAAGTCTGGAGCTCGAGCTCCAGACTCGTAAAATTGGTCAAAATGGCAGAAAATCAACCGTCAACTGCCAGCCGCAGCGCCAAGGCGACGACGGTGTTCGCCCGTCCACACCTCTTCAGCGTGCATCTAGCAGTTATCCGATGGATCTGCTTTGTCTGTGTATTTGAAAGTTAGGGCTGAAAAAGAGTTCACTCAAGACTCATTTATTACATTCCTGATGTTAAATCTTTTCTTTCAAGCCTTCACCCATCGATAATTATAATTGAGTGCCCACCCAAAAGAATGAGAGAAACCGAAAAGCATGAAACATTCATTAACAACTTCTTTTCCGCCGATTATGAATAGGAGAGAGACAAAATGTAAAATAGAGAAGCGCAGAAAGTCCATGGACACCTGCGACACCGAACGGATTTATATGTGAGGTGCTATTTAGTAATAACAATTTGTTTTCCACCCTCTCTCTCTCTCTCTCTCTCTCTCTTTCTCTCTCTTTCTCTCTCTCTCTCTCTCTCTCTCTCTCTCTCTCTCTTTCTCTCTCTCTCTCTCTCTCTCTCTCTCTCTCTCTCTTTCTCTCTCTCTCTCTCTCTCTCTCTCTCTCTCTCTCTCTCTTTCTCTCTCTCTCTCTCTCTCTCTCTCTCTCTCTCTCTCTCTCTTTGTCTCCCTAATCCCTTGTTTTGCTTACCTGGCGGAACTGAAATGAGCGTAGATTGACATAGAATTTGTGGTGGATGAAAAGAGGATTGAAAAATGTTTTACGAAAAAAAGAGAAAGGGAGTAATTTTTTAGAAAAAACGAAGAAAAGGGATTTCAGACTCTGCAAATGACAAAGACTGGATTCCACACTGTTTCGTAAAGAGCACATCGAAAGAGTTCATCGGATGCACCAGCATGTCTGAGGCATTCCATCGTTTGGATTTGGCTCGTGCTGTTAACGATGTCCGAAGATTTAATTTCATTTGCAAGGTAGATAATTCAAGAATACATATTTTGAAGTTTTCATTGGGGTAGTCTTATCAAATTCTTTAGAAAGCATGTTTTTAACTGGGACTTCGATCAAAAGTTTTACTGCATTCGAATGTTCAGAAATTTATGTACTTTCCTAATATTATTGCAAAAAAATTTATCATTCCGAAATTTCTGAAAATCCCTGTTCGCCACTTTTCAAGGCAACATTTTCAGTTTCAACGGCGTTTTTCGGATTTCGGGTTTTTGTTTGAATTTTCGCAATAATATAAGTAAAATACATTACTTTACAAACATCTTATATTGTCGGATTAAAAAAAGTGACACCTGAAAATCTCGGAGACGGCGCTCGTGTCGATTTTTTAGGGGGCGGAGCGAAAACGGATACTGTAGGTAACAAATTTATTCATGTGAATTTAGTGGGATTTTCTGAACAAAATTTTGATTTCTTGATATAAAAACGATCGCTAGCATCTCTAGAATCTATTTTTAAGCAAAAAACTAAAATTAAACGCGAAAGTAGCTCGAACGAGCCGAAATTCTGAAATATTACGTTTTTGCCGCACTTTTTCGTAGATCAAAAAAGCTAAAGTTTTCAAATTCTCAGGTGCCACTTTTTTTAATTCGACAATAGCAACAAAAATTTTGGTCGGAGTGCCCTTTTAACTAAAAAACCATTTAGTTACCAATGTAACCAATTTTCGCTTTCAGGTAGTTCAAATTCTAGTCGAAGAAAAGTTGCCAAATCTGTCAGCAACTGCTCGTAAATCACTTTTGGGTATTCTCACTGCCATATGTTTCCGATCATCAAACGAAGATATCAACGTGTCAACTGCTAAAGATCTAGTCAAAAATGTAAGACCTTTTTCAATTTTCCGAATTATTTTTTTCCATTTCAGTTTGGTAACGGGTTAGACAATGTCAATGTATGCGGTTCACCTCAATTGGTTTCTCGTCATCATCAAACGGCTTCATCCCTTCTCGATCTTATTTCTGAAAAGAACATTCGCACAGCTGCAGATGCTGATGATGAAAGTTCTCTCACTTTCTTCGATTTACCAAGAGAGGTTCGTTTTTCAAAATGTTCATTTCATAAAGGAGACTAAAAAGCATTTTTGCCGGGCTGGTCTGCATTCAGAACTTTTAAATTTCAATTACAAAAAATAAAAATGAAAATCTTCAGATTGTCACTCTGATTCTCCGTCGCCTTCCTGATCATCAATCACTTCTGGAAACCGCCCAAGTTCATGAAGCCTTCCAGGAAATCATTGATGGAGAGGACAAACTCTGGAAATCTCTGTGCACTTTCCATTTTCAAGAGTATCAGATCATCAAACAGAAAACTCCAGGAAAATCATGGCGTCAAGCATTCTTTGACCTCAAAAAATACCATGGGTGTCGTGAACTCTACGCAGATCTCATCCATATCTGTTGTCATTGCAAAGCCCTCTTCTGGAAAAGTCTGGGACATCCATGTGTCCGTGAGACAAGTGCTCCATCTGTTAGAGTCACTCCACGACAGTTTGTTGATATGTTGATTTATTTGTAAATATTTCGATTCATCCTGAAGACTATTTTGTTTTTTTTCACTTCTCAAATTGTATAAAACTCCTGAAAAATATCTATATATTTGTTCCCTCACTAAATATCCCGTTTCTCTGATTTCCCCTGTTTTCCCCAACTCATTGTTTTCTGTGTTATTTTTTTTCACTCAAAAACAACTCTCTTAAAAATACATCGAAATCATGCCATTCTTTTTCAGCCAATTCCCGATCCTTTCACTCATTTTTTAGTCATTCTAGTTTCACAATTCTTGTCATTTCTTTTTTTTCCTTTTTTCTACAACTGTAATCTCGCCTGTCTTTGTTTCATTCTCGTCATCGAAATTTTGCCAGTTTCTGAAATTTTTTGCCAGTTATTAGATGAATGTTTTAATCATATTTTTTGACACACGTCGGATTTCATTTTCGAGACAGTATAGAAAACCATCGAAACGATAATCGTATCGGAAAAATGAACATTCAACTTGCTGGTCCAAAAAAAAGAGGTTCAAAAAATAAGTGTGCCGGACCAACATTTGACATATTTTGACTTTTTCAGTGGAGAATAGCGCCTTTGGAGTCATGAAGCTTTATTGCAGAAGTTTTCAACTGCTCTGGAATGTTTTAGTTTTTTTTCAATCTGCTAGTAGGATGAGCTTCCAAAATAATTGATTACCAGACGGTTTACGCCCCTTTGGGGCTAAACCGTCTGGCTCCCGCTCACGGCTCCGCGTCACTTCGAAACCGCGACGTTTCGAAACCGGTCATTTCAAAACTGCGTGACACTTCGAAACCAGTTATTTCGAAACCGGTCGTTTCGAAACCAGTCATTTCGAAACTGCAAAATTTTCACGCTGAAATTTTTTTCTTCAATTTAAGACTTAAAATTTCCAATTTTCAATTTCATTTTTACGTGACTATGTTTTTTTTCGGTTTCGAAATTACCGGTTTCGAAGTGACGCGGAGCCCCGCTTTAGACAACAGCAAAAATAAAAAGAATAGAGCCAGCTGAAATAAAAAATTGAAAAGATCCGCTGACACGCTTTGCGACACGCGACGCTCTTAAGATCCGGCCAACTTCCGACCAACTTCCGACCATAAGAGACGCAGCTGCGTAGACGACTTTCTATCAACTTCTTACCAAAAGCTGACCAAGATCGGAAAAAAAGCCGAACCCCCCTCAACTTCCGACCAGAAGTTACCAATGATATCCAAATGTTATTCATCTTCTGACCTGAAGCCCATCAACTTCCGACCAGAAGCCGACGGTGTCTCAACTTCCGTCCTGAAGCTGACTTAGATCCGACCAGAAGCCGAACCCTCCTTAACTTCTGACCAAAAGTTACAGACCCGCACCCGAGAAGGTAAAAGATTATTGGTATGCATGCCCGCTACTGACTTTCGGAATCAGGAATTTCCTATTCAACTATGTTCATTCAATAAGTACTGTAAGAGATTTTCAGCAAAAAAAGAAATTTGTATTTCAACAAATATCTGTGAAATTTTGGATTTTCTCACACGACCACGAGCTCAATAAACTAAATAATTAAAAGGGCAAGGAGTTCCCTGCTTGGGTCTCGCTCAGACTGGTCGTGTAGCTCCACGGGAACAAGTCATGGCCTGGAAAACTCCAGCAATCAGCCCTAGCAAATTGCTGGTTTTCTGCATAAGGAACAAACCAGTAATTTGCTGATTTATGTCTTACTGTATAACCCCATTACACTGAATAGCGTCCTCGGCCTACGGCCGACTCCGCTAGGCGCGGCTGTGCCGCGCAATTAGGTGGAATCAGATGCAGGGCCTTCGGCCGTGGCTCTGTGGAATCAGTTGATCCAAGGTTCAGTTTATACTTTTCGAGACGTGTGTCTTGAAGCTCTGAATTCTGTTTCCTTCAAATTAAGTCTTGAGAAATTTTGGAATTCGTTCACTAAAAAATTTAGGTTTTGGCTAGCTGATTATAGAAGATATTTCGAGGTTTTGTAAGTTTTTTAGAAGTTTTTCTTGCTGGGCTAATGATTTCAGAATATTTGAACTAAACTGCAGTACTCCTCTTCCAAGTCTCAGTTAAACTTATCTAAAAAGGGGCCAGAGCTTCTGACTCTCTAAAATACAAATATCAATGTTAACACATGGATGGTTTCAAAAAAATATATTTTCCAAAGTTACAAGGTTCAAATATTTCAAAATTTGTATTTCAACAGAAAGCCCTTGAAAGTTCACATGAACACACTTTTTTCGATTGGAAATGCCAATTTCCGGTGAGAAAAAGCTCATCAAACAAAACAAGAAAACAGGAAGAAAATGTGAGAAATTCGAATCTCCCGTTGACTTTCAATCATTGTGTATGCGCTTCTTTTTCTTTTCGGTCTACCCAATTTTATCGTTGGGACAACAAAACAAAAACATGGGTGACACATTCAAAACAATAGACTTAATAAAAATTTCAAAGTTTTGTTCTCTTCTCCAGCCGGGAGATACAGCGGGGAGCAACAAGGCAAAAACAGGATTTAGGCTCGGGCGCCAAAAGGGATTACTGTAAATGTAAACCTATCGTAATCCATTGTTTGCAAAACAGGGAAAAATGGAATGCGGATGGCTGAAAGAAGAAGAGAGAAAGGAGGACAAATGCATGAAAAAGGCCAATGATTCATGTCATTCAACTTTGGCGCAAAAAAGGCATTCATAATAAGTGGCACTTCAAATAATACCAAACAGGTGTTCCATCGACGTTTAGTGTTTATAGGATGGTAACAAAAAATTTGCCACGTCATCTAACTAGTTTGACCTAGAAACATAATCCAAAGATGACTTGTAATGATGGAAATCTGGAAAATCTTAAAAGGAAATGTCAAACAAAAAAATAATTGAATTGTGATACACAAAAAACTTCTTTATATACAATACTAAAACAATATAACTTGAAAACTCCTAGTTTTTCAGTTATGTGCCGATTTCTGGAAGACACCTCTTGGTCCGTTTTTGGTCCGTTTTTGTACTGAAAACTTGAAAAAACAGGTGTCTTTCCGAAATCGGCAAATAGCTGAAAAACTCGCAACTTTCCGTAAATGCAAAGTCTTCAAAAACAGTTTTTTTAGGAAAAATAACAAGTGTGCTGATTAGCCAGACGTTTTGTCTGTTGATCCCTTTCGCCACGTAGAGTCTTAGTACATGAAAGAGTGCCCTCGCCCTGGTCTCCGGGGATTGTTGGATAATTTCCAAAGTTCCTTTTCCCTTGTCATAAGCCTTGAGTACGCTTTTTATTGATATTTGTGCATTTAGTTTCATCTTTGATCGAATCTTTTGCAAGAGGGGGACGTTCAGTGGAAATGATTCTACCTAGCCATGAACCCCAAAACATGGCGACTCTTAGGGCCTTCTATTACTTTTTTCGCAATCGACCAAACGAAAGTAAAAATGAAAATGAACCAAAAAAGTTAAGCGTATGCAAAGAGCTTCGAAACAGAGAGAATGGCTTGTGAAAAAAAAATTCAAAGAGTCTGATTTCACAGAGAACTAGTTTTTTTCAATATGTGGAATTTTTTTCAACGTGGACAAAATTTTTTAATCTTGAGAATTATAATCTTCCTTATATATAAAACGCTACACGCGCCTGTCTGTCCCGATGAGGACCTGTCTACTTTTGAAAAGCTTGAGAAATTCTTATAGATTTACAAGGAAAAATTTTAGATTTACAAGGAAATTTACAAGGAAAGATTTACAAGGAAAAACAAGGAAAAATTTTGAGTGGAGCGACGAGCCAGTAAAAAAACTAGATAAAAATCGCGCCGAAGGCGCACCAGCTTGCTGGTTTAATAATATTACTTGACGTGACCTTTTGAAAGAGAGAGAGAGAGAGAAACAGTAAAATAAATAGGTTAAATCGCGCCGAAGGCCCACCTGTCTGTTTGAAGCAACGGAGGAGCGGTAAACAGCCTGATTTTTGATGAAAATACACACATAGAAAGCTATTTAAGATCTATTATAGAATAGCCACACAGTAATAATGCTCGCCACAATTAAGTTTTTTAATTCAATCGTTCCTGTAAACATTAAACCGGTATTGTTCAATTGGAACAACTTAAAGTTTACAATTTTAGGTACACAGAAAATCGAAAAAGGGCTGGTCTCTGTGAATCAAGTCATTTGTTTTTCATTAATTACAGACAAATAAGCATGCTATAAACAAACAGTGAAATCAACTTACCGTAACCACTCTAATAGAATGTTCAACCACCAAACCACCAAAACCGTCAACTCTACATATCTCGTTTCCTCTAATAGATATAAAAAAGTGGTCAACTGAAAAATTGTTTATCATAATTTCAAAAAAACTTTGTCAGTTATTCACTTTTCGATATCTTTTAGAGGAACCGAGATAAATTGACTCAAAGGTGAAAGTTAGGGAGTCATTCTTTTAGAGTGTTTACGGTATTCACAAAGATTCGAAATTATTGCACTAATATTTGGAAAATGGTTTAACATTAACGTAGAAAAAATTGTTAAACTCAGTTATTGTACTATCCAAACTGTTCATAATATTCTGTGTATTTGTTCAAAAAAAGTCTTGGAACTGATATGTCTTTTAATCAGTAAAACACTGTTCTATTGACCTCTTTCAAATCCCCCTGTTCACCTCGTTCGCACTGTTCCCGAAACCTTCTCAAATGGACGATTTTTCCCATTTTCTTAACCCGTCATTTCTCCGCGAAAAAGAGAAAAGAGTGGCTTCTCCGCCGATCCAACTGTCCGCGCGGACTCCCGGAGTGAGCTTGCTCCGCGCGGCGCGAGAAATTGCTCTTCTGCGTACCGCCCATTTGTGTGTGTTTGACATGTCTTTTTGTTTGTTATCGCCCACAGGAGCAGCCACTGCTCCAGAGCCCAAGACTCCTGGAGCACCAGACGGTGTGTGTCTACCTGCCCTTTCTCATTGTTGTTTTTATATGTGTTCTTCTTAGATTCCCTATAGGTTCTCAAATTTTCAAGGAACTCCTCTTTTCATTCACTTTTTTCTTGCCTTTCTTGAAACATTAAGATGTATCATTTGTCTTGTTTTAGAATGGCGCCCCGTCAACGACGCCTTCTCTTGGTGACATCGATACTTTTACACGTGGCATCGACATCAGGTGATTCAACTAAAAAATGTGATCTTTTCCGATTTTTTTGATTCTGAGAATAAGATATTTTTCATGTTAGAGCTGAGTCTTTCATTATATACCGTAAACACTCTATCAGATTGTCACCAAACTTTCAACTTTGAGCCAATTTATCTTGGCTCCTGTTCTATTAGAGTGTTTACGGTAAACCAGAAGTTTCCGAACCCATTCCAATTTATACATTACTCATGTCGAAAGGTTGTGAATCACCATGAAAATTAAAAGCCTAAATAATTTATGAAGCAACTCCAATTTGGATTGGGCTCAGCCTATGTGTGTATTATTCTCAAATATTATATACCGTCCCAATCGTCTCAATTATCTCAATGAGATATATGAAAACTGTGTCAACTGATAAAATATTGGTGATATTAGGATAAATAACTAATCAGTTGACAAAATTTTAATATCTTTCACAGGAATCGAGATAATTGAGCTCAAAGTTTACGGCTTGGGTGGGCTTTTATTAGAGGAAATACGGTAATTTCTACAACCTCGGAAACTCATCAGTTTTGACCTGAGGAAAAAATCTGTAATTTTTTTAAACCGAATTTCATCAAGGGCTCTGATCCCAATATTTCCACAGCAATTCAACTACAATACTTTATCAAAAACTAATAAATCGAGCCAACTAAATATATCGATATTTGATCAGTGGTGTCTCGAGCACTATCCGTTTTCTTTTTTCGTAAATCTCTTTCATAAAATAAAATTAGAGGAGGGCAAAAAAAGATAATGCCAATAAGCCCTTTTTATATTTCCAATTTTTCAGCCAATCTCTATGGAGGAGCTGCCACCCAACAACAATATCAGCAACAACAACATCAGTATTCACAGGGTTACGGTACGTTCTTGGTTCTCAAAAAGCACAAAAAGCAATATAAATTTGCAGTTTAATATTAGATGACAAACATATAAAATTTAAATCATTATATGTTTAGTTTTATATCTTTTAACTTTGAGTTAGACAAAGTGACATCATATTCTCACTGTTAGGATATACCAAAAAGCCGGTAATAGAAGGGCACTCTACCTTTTAGTTTGAGCTAATTTATCTCGGTGCCTGTCACAGATATCAAAAAGTGGTTAATTGGTTTATCATAATTTCACCAACATTTTATCAGTTGTCCATTTTTTGATATCTTTCACAGGAACCAAGATAAATTGGTTCAAAGTTAAAAGTTAGGTGCCCTTCTATTAAAAGTTTTACGGTAACCAGTTACTTTTCAAATACAAAAGATCGATGCATGAGACGTCGTAAAATGTTGTTGCATTCCTGGTTCCTGGAACCGTATCTTCGTTTCTCCCCGACACGATTGTTTGTCGACATGTCATTCATTTCGTTTCGCAGCCCAGCAGAGCACCTCCCAAATGCACAATAACAATGAGCCAAAAAGCTAGGCGCCAAGTGGCTATTGATATCATGATAGTGATTGGAAATCTGGTTATTAAGGAATCAGAGATTTATTTAATGAAAAAGAAACTTTTGAAAAATTTTCAGGTGAAGTGCCATCCACATTCCAAACGTCGTTCACTTACACACAACCTGAAACTCAATCTCATCATCAACAACAACCACAAGCCACATCCTCCCAAAATTTGCAATTCCATAGCTACAACTCACAACCAGGAGTTCAATATGGATCACAAGACTCATTCTTCCCAAATCAAGCTGCTCTCACTGCTGCAGCAACGTCATTTGCCACGAGTGCTGCTCAGCAGTACGCCCAGACGTACGCTCAACAACAGCAAGTACAACAACAACAAGTTCAACAACCACCCGCACAGATTGATCAAGCCAACTTAGCAAAGTATTCTCAATATTTGGATATTCTTCAAAAGGCTTATGGAATTCAACTTCCCGGAGAATTGTCGATGCAACCAAATGCGGCAGCAGCTGGAACTGGATATCAAGCAGCGCAATCACAACAACAGGTATGGGGTTATTTTTATCTTTTTTTGACGAATAGTTTGTAGTTTGAAAAAAAACTTTTGACCTAAAATAACTCGCTCTCTAGAAAAATGTCAACTTTAGTTTCACGAATACCGTAAACACTCTAATAGCCCTCCTGACTTTCAAATTTGAGCCCATATATCTCATTTTCTGTAAAATACTTCAAAAAATGTCAATTGATAAAATGTTTGTGAGGTTATGATAAACAATTCCTCAGTTGATCAATGTTTGATATCTTTTACAGGAAATCAGATAAATTGACTCAAAGTGAACGGTTGGGGACGCTTCTTTAGAGTGTTTACGGTGATTGTCCCGAAAAATCCTAGTAGACACTGTTTTGAAAATTTTGGAAATTTAACGGGGTTCTTCAGGCAACCGGCAAAAAACCCGAAAAATAGCGAAAAACTCCGCAAAAACTCGTTCAAAATATCCACTATGAAAAGTTTGTCTGAAATTCCAGCCATATTTTCAGAGTGGATATTTTCACTCCTAATTTTGGCAATATTTTCTCTATACTTTTCTCCAGTTTTCCCCCAATGTTTCAGCCAGATTGGTTCGTTCTCTGAGGGAGTTTTAAACCATTTTTTAGGTTTTGCCGGGTTTTTTGACTATTATAGTCTCTTCAGATTGTGAACCAAGTCCCTCAAACCTACGGTCAACAACCCCAACAACCAGCTCCTCAAACCTATTCTGGATATCCACAAACTGCTGTTCAACCACAGCCACAAGTGAACACTCAATCACAAGCTGAAATCACTTATCAGCAGCAGTTAGCAGCTTATCAACAGCAGCAACAGGTTACTGAAAGTCACGAATCTTTATATCTGACCTAATTCATTTCAGCAACTTGCCCAGCAACAACAGCTAGCTCAACAACAAGCCGAGCAACTTGCTGCTCAACAACGCCAAGCTCAAGAGTTGGCCCGTCATCAACAATTGCAACAGCAGATTCAGCAACAGCAGCAACAACAACAACAGCAACAACAACAGAACCAATACGGAGGAATGCAACCAAATCCATATGTTCAACCATCAGCGCCAGTTCAGCAACCTCTTCCACAACAGCCAATTCCACAACAGCCAATTCCACAACAACCAGTTCCTCAACAACAAATTCCACAACAACCAATGAACTTCCTCCCAGCTCCTCAAGCTCCGATGCCACAAGCTCCTGTTCCACAGCAGCCGCAACAACCACATCAACCACAACCACAGCAATATGTCACCCAACCTCCTACCTATAAAAATAACTATCAAACTGCTGCATTGGGACAAACCAACAGCTATTCTGGACAAGCTAAACCACAAGTCTATACGTATCCAGGACCATCTCAAGTGCAGAAACCAACGCATTCCACCGTATACGGTAACCACGAGAACAGTGTCATCGAGGAAGAACCACACGGATCTGTGATTTCTCAGCAACAAGTTGTTCCACCAAGACCAGTTCAACCAGCCCAGCCAATGTCTGTCGCTACAGTAACCCGTGGTCCACCACCACCAACACATCCAGCTCCAGTTGTTGCTCCAAGCTCAGTGGTTCCAAAATCTCAACCAAGACCACCACCTACCACAAGGGTAAGTTATCTTTTTGAATTAAAGCTAAACTGAAATACTCAATTTTTAGCCTCCAACTCGTGCCACAATCCGCCCAACTCCACAAACAACTCAAACGAAATCAGCAACAAGTCGTCCTTCTTCTGCCACGTCATCAGCTGTTACACCTTCCCCAAGCCAATCGTTGACTCAGCAGGTGCACTGAATACAGTACATTTTAAAGAAATTTTGACTTTTTTAGATTCGAAAACTTCCGGCCGTTCTCTACATTGACTCCAAAAATGAAAGCACAAAGAAAACCGAGACACTGCTTAGAGATACCTATGGATTACCACTTGTTACATTCTATGTTGATAAGGTAGAATTAATCATTATTATATCAATTATTTAATTGAAATCTTTCAGACTGACAAACCGGCCGCAATCGAACGTCAACTTCAACAATTGACTGCTCACAAAGGTTTACCGTATCTTTTCATTTGTGGAACTTTCATAGGAAGTAAGTTTTTTTGAAGGTTTAATAAATAGATAAAGAGCAGTTACAGTATCTTTACTGTATACAGTGTTCGAACTGCTGTGGTATGCAGTTGCACTCTAATGAGAAGGGGCGTGTCAGCTGGGCATTTATCATTCGCGGCGTGATAATTAAAATTTTATCTCTGCGTCTCTCACTATGTTTCACTGAGATTGTGTTCTCTCGCTCCCTAGTTATTCTTTTCAATCAGCCTAACAGTTTGCCACGCCCCTTTTCATTGGAGCGCAACAGCATACCACATCAGTTCGAACCCTGTGTTCCGAGTTTCAATAAAAAACGAAATAATTTCAGGTGAATCCCATATTGAAAACTATCATTCTAATGGACAGATCCCACAACTTGTCGAATATGTTTGTGGAGACGAAAAGAAGAAGAAGAAGAACAAAAAGACTTCATCTTAACTATTTCATTAACATGTACTTTTTCTCAAATTTATCATGTGATAATCTCATTTTCGGTTCTTTCTAGTATTATATTATTTATTCCAAACACACAAATATTTATTTATTTATTTATCTAATTTCAACGAAAATTTCTTCTTTTCCTTTCGAAACATCATGCTTCAAAAACCGCTTAGCCTTTCATTGCCGCTTTCGAATTTTTGTTATGTTTGGAGTTTTTATATTTATTGTAAAGTGCGTCGATCGAATTCAATCGAAAATAAATCATATTAAAAAGACAATAAAGTATTAGAATTTGATAGGTATCCATCGAAAATTTCCATCCGAGCATCTTCTCTTGACTGAAAACTCTCCAGACTTCAAATCAATCTTCACACCGCACCAATACAATTCTTGTTTCTCATCAGAATCCTGAATTAAGAACTAAATCTAAATATTAAAATGAGTTCGAAAATTACCTTGCATTTCTCTCGATTTGCAATCAAGCCATGTTGGTTTTCGCCGTTGAGAAGGGATTTTGACATCTGTTAAAAAAACGTAATTTTCCAAAATATCAATCGACTGTCGGGTACCTTTTCAAACAAGTCCTTCTCTGTGGTTAGGAAAACATAGTCATCCTCATATCTCGAGTAAAACATTCTCGGATCATATTCTATATTCTTCCAATTCTCCTTCTCAAAATCATTGAGGTACATATGTGCAAGATTTGAAGACAATGGGTGTCCTTGCGGAACTCCCTTTGTAACTTTAAAAGTTGTTTCACCACGCTTGTAATAGTAGGATGAGACTGTGCTTCGGGTTATTTCCAAAAGCCATTTTGTCGAGACTTTCTGAAGTTTTTTTTTGAGAAAAACTGAAATTTTTAAAAAAGAAGCTTCAACTCACTGTAACATACACAACCTGGTGATGTTCCACTCGTTTCGATTGCATTTTTCGAGTGAGAGCAAGACGAGCCTCTTTCTCGGAATCTCTAGATACGAAGAGTAGTTTTGAAAATCCTTTATTGTCCAAACCTTTGCCACAAACTGTATGAATATCACAGCTGAAAGAAGGATTAGTTAAATGATGGTGAAGAAGAAACTACCGTTGATCAAGAATTCTTTCGATGATACAGATGACTGTTCCGTGTCTGACTGTTGAGAAGCATTTTGAAACATCTGCTGTGTAGCCGAATACTTGTGAAAAATCGGAATTTCTTTTCAAAAACTTTAAGATATCTTCACATGTTTTTTGGATAGCTGAAAATGGATTATTGAATTCAAACAAGCCTTTTTGAAAACACTGACTATGTCGATAAATACCGTGTTTTTCCAGACACCAGGCAAGGATGGAATTGACTTTCTTCCACTCCATAACCTCCTTGAAGCGGTCCTTTGATCTATTACGAAAAATCGGTCGGAGTTTGTTGGAAACTATCGTAAATCTCAACGAACTATAAGAGGCTGAGGACTTCAGACATCTTGCCTTCTGAATACACTTATATTGTTCTTGACATTCAGAGCTAAGACCTACATCTACTCTTCGCACAGCGTATATTTTCTTAAAACGGCTCATTCCCAGTTTCAAATGTTTCAGATATGCATTCCTCCACACATAAGCTGTTTTGTTTTGAATTTTGAGTGGAAGAATAACTTGACGAAGAGCTGCCAGAAGCCACCAAGAAAGAGCTGATTTCAGATTATTGACAATTGAAACTTGGATGGATCTCTTCGAAGATGGCGTTTCATTCTTCATAACCTTCTTACAACGGAAAGCACGAGCAAAAGGAGCTGAAATTATTTAGTAACAATAATAAACAACCTATCAGTTTTACCTTCTTTGTATACGAAATTTTCCAAGTGATGGAAACCTTCCGATTTCAAAACTTTTGAGACCCAATTTTTCAGGTTTCCACAATTCGTATTTCCAATGTGATTTTGAAGACTGAAGATGTGGAAAATACGGTCGATGAGTGTCTCAATGTCATCTGGATACATGTGGCAGTCTCTGTCAACTTCATTGATTGATGGTAGTTCTTCAAGCTCAAAACTCACTTCACTGTTGCCTTTTTCTTTTTTGGTTTCAACTTTCTTAATTCGAATGTATTTCGAGATGACATGAGACTTTTGGATATTCTGTTGACTTCTTCTACAACGACAGTACCCTGGACTTTCGGCAAATTTTCAGAAGACGTCAGAAATGTGGACATGTGACGGTAGGTTAATTTGGTTTTCATTTTCTAAAAAGATTTATTTTATAGTTCTTAAAAAATTTATCCATGTAATACGATTGAACAGTTTAATTCTAAAATTTTGATATCCGACAATATAAAATAATCAATACATGGTGCAAGAAACTATCAACTCGGGTTATAACTCATTTTTTTAACTTTCGAATTTTCAACCGTCTTACATATATAAACGGAACTGATCAGTAAGGACATACTCTTTTAAAAATGTTTCGTAGTATCGCCAAATTTCCATTTTTGGTGAGGATCTTATTCCATGGCTTATCACAAAGTTCTTTATGAAGTTTCGATAATGAACCGTTGTTATTTGTTTCACCATCCTGAAAACCCTCAAACTTTTTTGATATAATTTTCATATGGTTGGAATCGGAGAAAATGAATCATATTCTTCCTCCTACTACATCACTTCATGGCATCTCTCCCATATGCTGCAAGCCTCTTGAATTTTGGAAACGTACTCTTTAGATGTTGCGCATGTGACTAATCTTGATATTGTTACCAGCAGCTGTCAGCTTCTCTAATCTTATAATAATGTGTATGTAGAAGAGTCGACACGTGTCAAGAAGGCACATTGCGCTCCTGACACCTACATGAGACCACGCCCACTCCCGTCCTACAGGACTACCAGGGAGAGGGGAAATGAGTTACTGTAGTTCGCGACACGCCTTTTCACATTATCATCCGTCATTCTGTTCTAATTGGTTGTTTCGGTAAATAGAATCGAACCAGAATTTTGTCGACAATTCACACTTAACGGTACCCGACGTCTTCACAGCTCGCAATGTCTTCCACAGGTTCACCCCCGGGAGCAGAAGAAGAGTTTGAACCGTATGTAAGAAGGAAACGAGCTGAAGGTGGAAGTAGGAAGAAAATGCAAGGTTTGAATGAGCAGGTGAGCTAAATTATAAATATTAGTTACCGTATTTCTTCTAATAGAAGCCCACCCAAATCGTCAACTTTGAGCTCAATCATCTTGATTCCTGTGAAAGATATCAAAATTTTGTCGACTGATTAATTATTTGTCATGATATCACTAGTATTTTATCAGTTGACAAAATTTTCATATCTTTCATAGGAATCGAGATAATTGAGCTCAAAACTGACGGTTTGGGTGACTTTCTATTGAACTACGGTAGTTTCGTTTGTCGCAGACTGATGAATACAAAACTGTAATATTTCAATATGACTGTGAAATTCAGCAAAATTTAACTGACCAAACGGGTCTGTTTTTAACCATACTTAAAACGGGCCGGGCCGGACCTGGCTTTTTTCAGAATTTCTAAGGCCCGGGTTTTCAGAAAAATGTTTCCTTTCTCTTCAAAAAAAATCTTTTAAAAAAAATTTTCGGGATCAATAGGAAAAATGAACGATTTTTCTGGCAAGAAAAAATTTTTCCAAGATAAGTGTGCCATAAAAAATTTCTGAAATTTCAAAAATTTTACGAATTTGGAAATCTTCGGCCAGGCCCGCGAGCCGGTCCCTGATTTTGCAAGTATGCTTTAAATGGAACTATTTCAAGCGAACTAAATAAACCGTTTAGCATTCCAACCTCAGCCATTTTTGACTAACAGTATTCAATCGGATTTTTTCAAATTCTGAAAATTTTGGAGCTCTCCAGAATCAATTTAATTACAGGAACAGAACATGCTTCGAAACTCCATTAATAGTCGAGAGCGACGCCGGATGCACGAGCTAAACGACGAATTTGAATCTCTGCGTGAATGCCTACCGTATCCAAACGAGGCAAACAGTCGTCGAATGAGTAAAGCTAACACTCTACTATTGGCTTCAAACTGGATCAAGCATCTTTCTAACGCTAATCACAAGCTTCAGATGGAGTTGAATGCAGCAAACGCAAAGGTATGATTGAATTCGAATATAAAACTTTTTGATTGATCTAGAAAAGATTTAGATCGAGATGCTGAAGACTCAATATAAAAAGTCAGAAAAGCCTACTCAAAAATGTTCAAAATGCAAGCAGAATGTTTGCTTTTCCGTTGACTGTATTACCTCTTCATAATTCTGAACTTGAATAACATGCAATTTTCATTATTAACTTCTATCAGATTTTATTCTACTATTCCTTTATTGTGTCCAGAGAATAGACTCATTCCTAATCCTCTAATAACAATAGGCAAGCTCATCCTATTCACTTTGCATCTGCCTTTTGTATTTCTGATACTAACTGAATAAGATATTTTATTGTTTTGTTTGTCTTGGCAAATTTACAGAAATCTCTGAACTGTTGAAATCTTCCCTCCACATAAATAACCATATTCTCTCATTTTTACAGTATTACAGTACTTAGCCAATTAGCTCTTCTTTCAATTCCTCATTACGTCACTGCCCATGTCATAAGACAAGATGCGCGAGGAGCTAGAAAAACGCAAAACGAGAACATATCATATTGGTTACGTAAGTGTCATAAACCAATTACTGAGAATTGAAGACGTCCCGCAGATGGTTGAACTCCCAAGATGAGGAGTGTCTCCCGCAGAGTTTTCGCTCTCGCATATTAATACATGATTTTGCTTTTGAATAGAGAGAAGGAGAAGAAACAGGTATAGAAAATAGAAAATAAATTAGAATAGTCATTTTTTTCAGTTGGGATGATTTAGAAGTCATTGGGCATTGCAATTAGCTGCTTATTGTGGCAAAGACCGGGAGTAGTGGCTCGTGGACCGAACCGAAGTAATGATGTTAAAAACCATCCGCCCGTTCTACACTTCTTACTCTTAACATGTTGAAATAGGATACGGTATCCATTCCTTTTGATGATTCCCCCATAAAACGCCAATCTCATTTTAATTCCAATCGAGGATACACAAACTAATCGGAATGTATGATTTTCCGCAAAAGAGGTGAGAAAATAGTGAGAAGAATGAGATATTTTAAATTAGAAAATTGATGTGCTAAATGAGTAAAAGAACCGGCGGCATCTCTTTCGGTTTCATTCTGAACGAGTCGAAAGGGGAAATCTTATACTGGAACCCTCGACTATTTCAAATCATTAAAAAAAACAATTACCATGTTCATCGAGCCTTCCATTATATTTTCATTGTTCTATGACGCAACGAACTCACTCAACCGGCCGTTTTCTGTAAGTGCTCATTTGTGCGCAGAAGTGAATAGGAAAAGAAGAAACAGTTGGTCTAATCGGTACTTAGAAGTCCTAAATACATGTTACTCTATTCATATTGACCGAAAAATAGGAAGAAACCGGGGAGCTCGAGCGAGGGTCGTAGGGACATTTTAAATGAAATACTTCATATTTGAGATTGAAGAATTGAAATACAGTTCAAAATATTTATGAAGAGCGACACCGATCGGTAATTTTGGAGGGGGTGAGAGAGGACGGCGGAAAAGGTTCATGATCTGTTGCTAAGGAGTAAAAGAAAGGGTAGTTTTACATTTTAAAAGTGATCTTTGTGTGTTCAAATGATAGGGAGTTGTTTTTCCATTCTCAAATTGGTGGTCTATTCTCAAATTGGAGAGCGAGAGGGCAGTGAAATTATGAGATTTCAAAGGGGTTTCAAGGTAATGATTGCCAGATTCTAGTATATTAACAACAAGAACATGGTTAAAACGTACGGGGACAGAAAAACGAGGGGAAGATCGGTGTACAACTCTAAGACAACGCAACAAGGAATATTAGAATTGGATGTATAAAAATATGAGGTCCGAGTAGAAAGAAGTGGCTGTTCAACTTCTACATGATCGAACAACGATCAGCTGGATCTGATGGATCCGACGATTCGCTGAGCTCAACTGTGATCGAAGATACAATATCTCCTTCATTATCCTCGAGACGTGCGGAGGGGTTTTCTCCGATGGGCCACTGAAATGAAAGCTCGAATTTTAAAAAACCTAGATTTCTGTTTAATAATCACCTGTTGCTTCTTCATTACGTAAACCTCTGGTGGGTTATGAACGGCTCCCGACTCAGCAGACCAAACAGTTGCACTAGCGTGTGGAGCGAGCTTCATGCGGGCTGAGAACTGGAACGAAGCTTCTTTGTTTCCAGCCTTGACAACCAGCTTGTATCCTCCAATAGACTGATCTTCTTCTGAATTGTTCGCAACGCGAACCCATTTTCCTTCCTCGTCGACCTCGTCAATTCCGACAGGTCCGATTGTCTCCTTGTTGAGCTTCGATCGTCTATTGAGGTAATCAATGTCTTGGTTCTCTCCGTTCACTTCAACGACACGACGGCGTTTGACGCCACGTTGAGCACTTGCAGCACCAGAAGAGAAGGACACATGATGAACAGAAGCATTTTTAGATGTGTCTTGAGTGAGGTTCAATCGCTCCTCTTCTCCCTCAAGCAAGGCTTGGTAGGTCTTGAGCTCAGCGTCCAGCTGAATCTTCACATCAAGAAGATCGTGGAACTCGCTCATCATTCGTTCAATTTCTTGATTGAGCTCCGAAATACGAGCATCCTTATCATCCAGTTTCTCTTGGAACGATCTTTTGAGTGTATCAAGCTCCGCTCGCAGGCGTTCAATGAGTGAAGCATTTCCGCTGCTGGAAGTCTCCAAATCTCTAACACGAGCACGCAGATGTAGTGCTTCGGAAACAGCACCTTCTTGTCGCTCACGAGCATCATTCAGCTTATTTTTGTAAGCATCTTCAAATGCTGTTTTGTTTTGGGCAAGGTTGCTCTGGAACTGAGCTCGCATTTCAGCAATTTGATCTTGCAACTTCGATTGGTACTCATCGTTGATTTGCTTCGCATATGTTGTCATGTCGACCTGACGCTTGTGTCTAACCTCTTCGAGTTCTCCCTTGTGTTGTTGGAGTGCGAAAGCGAGATCTTCCTCTAAAGCCTTGATCTTGTTATTGGCAGCAGTACGAAGCAGAGTTTCGTCTTCTACAGCTTTCTTGAGACCCTCAACAGTATCCCGAAGAGTGATGTTCTGCTTTTTGAGATCCTGAAAATATTCAAAACTTTATCTCATTTTCTGTTTCTCGATATCACATCATTTTCCAACACCAGCTTATCGTTTCGAGCCTGGAGAGTCTTTTGCTTAGCTTGACTTTGATCAGCAACTGATTGCGCATGGAGAGCTTGCTCTTCGGCTCCAGCGAGTTCCCGTTCAAGCTTATCCACCTGTGGCTTCAATTTCTTGACTTCAACTTTGGCAGCATCATACTCGATCTTGTACTTTGCAAGTTCATCTTGAGCCAAATCAAGAGCGCGGCGAAGTCGAGCCTGAGAAAAGTAATATATTAACCCCTTCCACGACACTTATCGCTCATCCATATAGCGTATTGTTTGTCTTGTTACTTTTCTCAGAGAAACAGAGAGCGATATATTAGTTTCGTATAACCACCTATGTAGACACAAAACACAAATAATACTCACTTTCTCAGCTTCAAATCGATCGGCTAAGTTAGACTTCTCCTTTTTCTCCACAACTTCAATATCACGAATTTGGACTTGAAGCCTGTTGTTCTCCTGCTCCAATTGGCGAACTTTCTAAAAACGGAATCGTGAGATGTTGGGGGAAAAGTTAAAATTATCACAAACATCAATATATTGAGCGAGTCGGCTATTGAGTGATGTTAGATGGTCTTTTTCTTGAAGTCGAGATGTTTCGAGAGTTGTAGAACCGCTGAAAGGCATATCAAATAATGTCAAGAATCAACATGACTGGTTGCCGCAGAATAACATAGAGAGCATAGAGATAGAGAGCAAACTCACAATGACTCGTCTCCACCCCCGTTGCTGAGCGACGAATTGGCTGAGCGTTCCAGAGAAACGATCCGAGAGCTGCGGGCACCTTTACGGGACGCCATATTTTCTGGTTTCGCTGTAAAAAAGTATGTGTTCAATGCTTTCTGAGAGAAAAGAACAGAAATTTGAAGAACAGCGTCACCGGCGCCAGAAAATCATGACTCAACATTTTGATTTCTATGATAAAGAATGTTATACAACAAAAACTTTGCTGTCCAAACGAAGTGTGGCAGGCACTCAGGCATGACCTTCGTTGTGTATACCAATTTTGAATCGAGGTTTTTGTCGAAAAATCGGACAAAGTTGGGTTATTTGAGAGTTACGGCGCGCGGAATGACCTTAAAAGAGGCAGTCGGCAACATTTGGGAATTTGTATGCATTTTCGATTGCTAACATTCGGAAAACTCCGAGAAACGTAGCTCCTTAAGTAATTTTCGCATTCAGGCTTGAGAAAAGTTGACACTAGAAAAATACATTTCAAATTTTGGCGCGCTGCGGATTCGCGCCGCAGGACCCTCTGCGTAAATCTACATAGACTCCTTTAATAAAATACAAGTCTCACTTTCCTACAAGTTCGAGGAACAACTCGTATATCCGAACAACCGATTTCAAGAAAAAAAAGAAGGAAAGAAGGATTTAGTTTGAAATTCGAAAATATACCGCTGTCGATTTTTCGAAACAGGTGAGCGACTGAATTGTCGATTGTGCTGATGAAAAAAATAGCATATGAACCGAGGAGGGGACTAGATACTAATTTATTTTGTACTTGCTTGATTGGGACTGACCGTCCATGTCGTGTCAATTAGAGAGTAACACATTTCGGAAATCGAATTTCAAGAACCGATCAATCACAAACTAGGGAAGCAAACTCGGTGATAAAATATATCAGATATCGGATTACACGGAAATCAGTGTAAAATGTTGCAGAGTACGAGAGTTTCTCGGGTCAGAAACGAGAAAAACGCCCTACCTCACCCGAGGGGCACATACCAGGACTCTTGTGTGTTGCGCGAGTGAGTGTGCCTTTTCATCTCTACACTCTCAATTGGCACACACACCCTCTTTAAGTTTTCTTTTTTCATTCGTTTTTTATGCTCACAACACCAAAGGCAAGAGAAGCAGAGTGTCAGAATAGTTTTGTGTATATGGTAAACAACAGCTACACAGCAACTTGGCAACATGCCCATTCATGAAAAATAGTGTGACAGACAGAGAGAATTTCAACGAGAAGAAAACAGACGTTGAAAAGGCCAAACATCTGCGAAATGAAAAAGGTCGTCTCTCTAGTATGTTTGACACAGAATGAGTGAATTCTCAAAGAGACAACATCTGGACAGAACCTAACGGTGTCAAAGACACGACGACAAGGGAAAATAAATCAATAGACGACTGAGGATTCTGGTTTTAAAAACAAAAAAATGCATACTTGTGAAGGGCCGGGCCGGCCCGGCCCGGAGGCCCGGTCGGCCCGGTCGGCCCGGAAGTTTACCGCGAACTTCAAAATCTTGAGCGAAAAGTTGAATCATTGTTTCGAAAAAAGGTATTCAGTGTTTTTTTTCTTCGAGTTATTTTTTTTTAAATACATTCTAAAAATCAATAAATTATCGCTTTGACAAAAATGGCGGCTGTTTAAATTCATGTTTCAAAAATTTTGTTTTTTTTCTGCCGGGCCGCCGGGCCGGGCCCTGAAAATTTTCTCTCGGCCCGGCCCGGGCCGGGCCGAAATTTCAGTATGAAAAAATGCACACCCTCGAAAGTCAGAAAACTGCTTTCACAACTGACACTGAATTCCTTTTGTGAAATATATTTGCGGAAATGAATTCAGGACAGGAAAATCTGGGCTGCAACAAGAATCTGCATAAATTAATGTATCATGGGCTTCACGCACCCAGTTGTGGCCTTGGGGGGGGGGGGGGGGGAAGAGAAATTTTAAATGAATTGTGAGAAAAAGAAATAAACGATAGAATGAGACATATCCTAAAGGAAATATTGGATTACTGGAGATTATCCCACTTCCATGATGACAGATGAGAATTGTGTGTTGAAATGTATGTCTTCTCTACTGCTGAGATTTCAGTGTGTTTCGAAGAATATCCAATTTCAAAAGACATTTGTAGCATATATTCCAAAAATCGGAAACCTGACAGATTTAGTCAACTGAATAACAACAGATGAACAAAGGGAAACACTGAATTCTCAAAATAGGAAACATTCGAAAAGACATAGAAAGACGACGCAATTAGAAAAAAATAAATGGCCTTGGAGCGAATGAAAAAAGGCGATACTCAAATTATGTGTACATTCAAAAGAAGGAAAATACCAGAAAAACTGGTAGCATGAAAATCCGGAATTTATCATCGGTCATATTATCGTCGTCTGAAAGAAAGAAGGTTCAGAGAAATTGTGTCGACGTCTTCATATTATAAATGTGTTATTTTGTAGCAAGACCTCTGCATACTTCTCTAAAATATGACTAACGCGCCAAGTTGAGCCAAAAAATGTACAGGGATGTACAGGGATGATTTCGAAAACTTTTCGAAACTATTTCAAAACACTAGTCGCATTCTCGCTTTTTTTTTCTCCCACTCGGCACGTGAAAAAGAATTTTGAGAGACGGAAAGATAAAATTCAACAAACACACCCCCATTCAGTCGGTGGTCGATATTTGAATCTCCCGCTCTCTCGTTCGGCCGGGGGACTAGGTTTCCGTCGTACTCTCTTCTCCCATGCATTTTTTTTTCGTTCTGCGACTGATGTAATCAGTTCAGGCGAATATTATCCTTGTCAGAGAAAAAAAAGGTTGAGTCGAAGTGTATGCGATGTTTGTAAACAAATATCTGAAAGCGTAAACAACCGGAAACAGTTGAAACGATTGCGACAGTAACCCGGCGGGAAAATATTAAATTTATTCATTTTTTTAGCTTTTCGCATATTTTGCAGCAAATTTTGTCGAATATGGTTTGTTTTTCATTGTTTTTTGCGGTATTTTAAAATATATTCGAAAAAATTTGCTGCAAAATAAGAGAAAAACTAAAAAATAGGTAAATTGTAACATTTTCCCGCCGGGTTACTGTCGCACTCGTTTAAACTGTTTCCGGTTGTTTACGCTTTCAGATATTTGTTTACAAACATCGCATACACTTCGACTCAACCTTTCTTTTCTCAGTCAAGGATAATACTAGAAATACTTGTTCGTGAATTTCAGTCACATGTTCTTTGGCCGATATACATTTGGGCTGACATATAGTTATTCAGAATTTTTAGTAGGATACAAAGACGATAACTACAATTCTTGCTTCTTCAAAACCTCAAGATTCAAAAATACTTATCGATCATACCCGTTTTTTGTGTTGATCATTCTTTCAAATTTTAATTTTCAGGGAAACATGGATCAATTGCTCGATGTGGAAACTCTGAAGAATCTGTCGCCAGAACAGCAGGAGCAAGTCATCAACGGAGTCAAACAGCAGGCAGCCCTTGCCAATGCACAGAACCTTGTTACTGTAAGTGGGACGATTGTGAAGTATATGGTCCCAATTCAGACCAACAATCCACATTAATCTTCTTTCTGCCTGGCGAATTTGCTTAGAAAATGAACTCACATGTCCCGATTTTCAGGATATCTCGGAAAAGTGTACAAATAAATGCATCACTGCACCAGGAAGCTCACTGGCTAGTGGTGAGAAGCAGTGTCTTCAACGATGCATGGATCGTTTCATGGAATCGTGGAATCTTGTCTCTCAAACTCTCCAGAAACGTCTTCAAGATGAAATGGCTTCATCCGGAGGAATGAGCGCCGGGTTTGGACAAGGACCATCATTCTCTTAAGTTTTCGTCAAAAAATATCATTTTTGTTATTGTTGTTTTCTTGAAATTTTTTTCGAAATGTCTTCAGTAGGTAGATCAATAAAACTGTTCTATTCCTGTCGTCGATCTACCAAAGCGGCAATTATCAACCACCCCAGATGTTTCAAACTTTTAGATGTGGATTGAATTTCTTTATTTTTCTTTGAGGCTTCTGTGAACCGATGATTTCAACGTTCGATCACGATTATGCGCAGCAAGCTTACTTCCAAAGAAGCAGCTGAAAACCATTACATAAATTGCTTTGTAATCTGAAACCAGTTATTTATCACGCTTCGTTATCACAAGCATGTTCACTCAGCAATTCTTCAAGATAATGAATTCATAATTCTAGAATGGTCGCTCCCATTAACATCATGGGTCTCATGTTCAGTATATATTTCTACACATGGCTTCATCCTGATTTGTCGAAGAATGTTCGCATCGGTCTTAATCAGTTCAAGGTTGATTGTATGATCTACATAGGAACAATACTCTGGTTGTTCGTATCAATGTGCATCGTGGCTCCTTATTTCACTCGCCGAACGAATGCTCTTGCCGGAAATGTCGGAATGGCTATAAGTTCGCTTGGCGTCATTCTCTCGCATTACTTGCTTGAGAATAAATGGGTGGTGAGTTGTCACCCTAAGTATTTCTCATATATGATCATCATTTTCAGTGGAGTGGCCTCATGTATATCTGTGATATTCAACTATACGCATTTTCCCTAGGTCTGGCGTTGATGGGACAATGGTCCATATACCACTACGATAAAAATCGCGCCATGTACGTCGCTTTTCCTGTTGTCTGCAACACGATCGTAGTTTTCATGTTGTACAGTGTACTTGAAACAAAGGTTTGTCGAAAGTAGTGTGTATTTCAGATAAATTAATGTTCCAGGATTTCAACGACGTATTCCCGCTAAGCTCCTTTGGAGTTCACACCGCTTTTGCCATTCTTGCACAAGTTGCTGCTCCGCGCCTCAAAACATGGAACTTTTTCGAATACATCAAGAAGAATAAACGACGATAATTGTTCTGTGGTTCAGCTGTGATAGTCACTTTAATGTTTCTTCATTTGTATCTCATTCATGTCTTTTCTTATAACCGTGCGAGTTAAACTTGTTTGAATATCATGTACTTTATATTATTCTGGTCTAAATAAAGTTTTGTCAGAAACGACCTGCAGCCACAAACCCAAAATTGGAGCGATGTCGCTCAGCTGAAGTCAGAGTAACAGTGGCTTAAAAGGTTTTTAGCGAGTTTTAAGAGAGATATGTTTTTTTTTTCATTTGCTCGGACATCGAAAATACTGCTGAAATTATATTTAAATACTCGAGAGCTTGCCGTTTGCAAGTTGCAAACTCATTTTTCTTTCTGATTACTGTAGTTCTCGTTTTCTGCATTCTTGCAATCGGTGTATGAACCTTTTCGAGACTTTTCTCTTCGTTTTTCGAATTGCTTTCTTGCATCATTCAGCAGCTGTACACTTTTTATTTTGTTTCAAAACAAAGTTTATTATGAAAAAACGCATATTGAGTTGTAATCTTTCAGAAGCCTCGTATCGAACTTCAGAGAACCATTCCTGGTATCTCGATTAACTGAAAATATAAGTAGGTTTTTTGGTGAAATGATTTATCCTTTTTAATTTGTAAAACAATAGAGACTCCACCGATTCCGAGGAAGGGG